CTGTTATGCATTTGCTACTTTGTTATCATTGATTTACTATTGAGTTTTAGTGATTAGCTATTAAATTATCATTGATTTATCGCTAAGTTATTTATAATTTAATTACTATCAAACTAAAATAAATTTACTATTATGCTATCACTAATTTACTATTAAGTTTTCATTGATTTATTACTAAATTATCAATGATTAGCTATTAAGCTATCATTTTTTATGAAGTTATTATTAATTTACAATTATGTTATTATGCATTTACAATTACGTTATAATTGATTTATTATTAAGTTATTATGCTTTGACTATTATATTATTACTAATTTACTACTAAATTATAATTGATATACTATAAGTTATATCTCTAATTCACTATACTAAATTATTATTGATTAACTATTAATTTACTGATGATTACTATTAAGTTTTATTGATTTACTTTTAATTTTCAATTATTAATTACTACTTAGTTATAAATTATCTACTATTAGATTATCATTAATTTATTACTAAGCTATTTATGATTTATTACTAAATTTGTAAATTAATTATTACTCCATTTATTTGTCCTAGTTAAATTGTCATGGTTTTTTTTTTTTTTTTGGTTAAAATTTTTTAACTTTGACATCTATTATTTTAAATATTTTAATAAATTAAATTTTACAAAATATTTATTTAGAAACCACTTCATTTAAAGTTTTTAAAATATTTTTTTCATATTTTTATCAATAATAAATAAAAAATAATAGGTGATTAAAATTGAAAAAAATTGACCAACAAAAATCAAAATGTGACAATTTTATTAGGATGAAAGGAGTATTAAACTGAATCTTATTTACTATTAAGTTATCATTAATTTACTATTAAGTTATCATTGATTTATTATTAAGTTATTAATAATTAACCATTAAGTTATCACTTACTTTTTATTAAGTTATCCTTAATTTACTAATATGTGTTATATATTTACAATTATGTATAAGTGATTTACTGTTAAGTTATTTGTTATTTCCTATTACTTTATTATGTATTTATTATTATGTTATCATACACTATTTTATCATTTATTTATTATTAAATTATTTTTATTTACTATTAAGTTATTATTATTTTATTATTAAGTTATCTATAATTTATTATACAGTGATCATTAATTTAGTATAAAGTTATTATTGATTTTGTCTAAATTATCACTAATTTATAACAAAATTATCAATAATTTGCTACTATATTATTATATATTTACTACTAAGTTATAATTGATTTACCATTAAATCTTCTGTAATTAATTTAATCGTGTAAATCATATTAATAAGTGTAATATATTATAAACACTAAATTATTCATTTGTAGAAAAACTATTTTAAGCCTTCTAACCGTATTGCTTGCGTTAACTGGGGCATAAATGACTTAATTAAAGAAAAACTATTTTAATAAGAAAATAAATAAAAAGTAGATAATATTTTAATTTACTAAAAAATATTAAATAAAAATAAATAGAGAGAATATAATAAAATTATCAAAATTTATATATAATATAGATATATATTAAACATTTTCTTAATTATAGAATGTCTTATTCAAGGTAGGCTATAAAATTTAAAGTATGTATACGTTTGTGAGTATTCTAAATATTTAACTAAAATTTAAATAAATTTTTTTATAGTAAAGTTGGCTAAATTCCAAGTGGAGCACTTGTTACACATTAAGAGAAAAAAAATTAAAGGTTATGTTATCATTTGTCATCCAACACCTTTTTTTTAAATTATTTTCATATATATTATGATACATTGACTCATTGAGTAATAAAAAGACTAATTTAATAATTTTACGATCCATATGAAATATTAATTGATTCATTTATTTTATTTTTGTATATATATAATTTAACATTATTAATTGAATTAATTTTTTATCTTTATTGTAAGATTATATAAAAAAACATATTTTATTTCACATCCTCATACTTCAAATTTCTATTATGCAACTAATAAGTTTAATTGTAAGTCTTTCTTTCTTTATGAATTGAAAAATTGGTTGGACATGTATGATTGGCATGCAGTGTATTATTAATAAGAGTGTACCAAATTAAAAAATCATTTTTGATATTATTTAGAGTTCACACTTTTATATGTATATATCATAGATGATACATGTATTTATCTATAATAAACACACTCATAAAGTACAAATAATTATTAAATCGATGCTTTCATGATAAGAGTACAAATTAATAATCATATACTTAAAGAATATAAACAAATAATAGAAAATAAACTATAACATTATTGATTTCAAGAATATAATAATTGGTTACAAAACTAACAAAGCTTTGATCATTCAATAAAATGCGCATAATTAATCATGTGATTAAAATATTTTTTACTATCAAAATACAAAAATATTATAGAGCATTCTCAATTGAAAAAACTAAATTTATATTATTCAAGGGAAATTATAAAATATATTTATATTAGATTTTTTAAATTTTACAATTGAAATTAGTAGCATAACACACATAGCCTTTAAGCTTCAGAGTATATTAAAAAAGGCTAATTGAAAAATAAGAAAGTGATGTGTAAATTTTTTAACCCATTTGTAGAATTAAAAAAAACTCAACTAACATTATATCAAATAATTTCTCTTCTTTAAGATTAATGTTTCTTAACAATATTGACTATGGTTTTATAAAAATATCTTAAGTACATAATATTTTAAATTAAAAATAAAAAATAAGGATTGACTAAAATTAATTTAGATGTAATATAGAATCAATCTATAGAAGATAAAATAAAACCTAAATTTAGTAACAATTCACATATACCAGAGATTATGTTCATAAAGTAAAGATTTATTTAAGCATTGTAACGTTAAAACATAATTGCATAGAGTGATTAAAATTTTATAGTAAAATAAATCAACCATTGCAATCATTAAACATATAAATGTATATTTATCATTAAAAAAAATCAAACATACAAACTTGCCATAATATATGTATTACTCTTACTCAATAGTTTTTTGATAATTTAATTAATAACTTTGTATGAACTTTAATTTTAATTGATCTAAATTAAATAAATAAAAAATATAAATATAATTAATGACTTATGATATGTACTATTAAAGAAGATAAAGAGTAAATTAGGTTGTATCTTGAAAAAGAAAAATTATATGTTTTACTTAAAATAAAATTAAATATTTTTGGGGCATAAACATTATGGTATAATAATTTACACTAAAATAATAACTAATTAAGCAACAAAGGAAAGATTTTATCTATACTTTGTTTAATATTACAGACTCATAGTATGCTATAACCTATAGGATGAGAAATGTGTTTTATATAAATTTAATTGAATTATTACTTATGAAATTGAACAAAAAAGAGTCCTACAAAAAAAATAAGATAAGAGTAAATTTGGGTTAATTTTCGAAACACATCCACCATATCCCACAAATAAATTTTTAATGTAGTTTAATTTGCTATAAATTCTATTTGTAAATTTTTAATTGATTAAATTTAAATAACTAATGAATAAAAAGCTATATATTTAATGGCAAATAATCTTTATTAAATAAATAAATAAATGCTAAAAATTTAAAGGTAAATTTGTTATTTTTTAAAATTATAAGGGTATTTATGCTATTAACTTTTAATACTTTTGGATTAATTTAAATAATTAACTAATAAATGCTATATATTTAATGAAAAATAATCTTTAATATATAAACAAAAAATGCTAGAAATTTAAAGGTAAATTTGTTATTTTTAAAAATTTATAAGGGTATTTATATCATTCACTTTTAATAGTTTTAGAGTTCACACTTGTATATATAGATGAAATTTTCGACAACTCATCCACTATATCTCACAAATAAATATTTAATGTAATTTAATTTGATATAAATTCTATTTGTAAATTTTTAATTGATTTCAATTTAAATAACTAATGAATAAAAAGCTATCTATTTAATGGTAAATAATTTTTATTAAATAAATAAATAAATGTTAGAAATTTAAAGATAAATTTGTTATTTTTTAAAATTATAAGAGTATTTATGCTATTCACTTTTAACACTTTTAGATTAATTTAAATAATTAACTAATAAATGTTATATATTTAATGAAAAATAATCTCTAATACATAAATAAAAAATGCTAAAAATTTAAAGGTAAATTTGTTATTTTTTAAAATTTATAAAAGTATTTATATCGTTCACTTTTAATAGTTTTAGAGTTCATATTTTTATATATAGATGATATATAGACATCATTCCAAAAATATAGATTCAAGGTTACAGAAAGGAAGAAGATAGGAGATTCGCAATGGATCTAAAATTATTGGCTTTGAAGATTCTTGCTGTCCTGCTTGCAGCATATGTTTTCCTGTTTGGTTTTCTTAAGAAAGTAAATGAGTGGTACTATGTTAGCAGGCTGGGTGAGAAGAAGCATTCTCTTCCTCCTGGTGATCTTGGGTGGCCTTTGTTGGGTAATATGTGGTCGTTTATCAGAGCTTTCTGTTCCGAAAACCCTGACGGTTTAATCGATAATTTGATTAGAAGGTCTCTTTTCCCCTTCCCCCCTTAATTTCATGCAAAAGCACAAAAAAAAAAAAATACCAGCATTAAAAGTTATCTTATCTGAACGTAATATGTGGCCTTTGTTGGAGTTTTCAGGTGTGGGCGAACTGGTATCTACAGGACTCACTTATATGGAAATCCAAGCATCATAGTTTGTAGTCCTGAAACACGTTGGAAGGTATAGCTAGATGATGATAAATTTGGGTCTGGTTACCCAAAAGGAACAGTGCAACTGCTAGGAAAAAGTTCGTTATCCGCCCTTCCAACTCCAAAATACAATCGTCTGCGCAAGCTAGTAACAGCTTCAATCTGTGGCCCTGAAGCACTTTCCATGTATGTTGGATATATTGAGGATTGCGTGGTAACTTCTTTGGATGAAATGGATAGCATGACGGCCGACTAAGTTTTCGACGGAGATTCAGATGGTTTTCTTCAAGGTCCTCACTAAAATCTTCTCAGGCTCCAGCGCTGCAACACTTCCTGAGTCTACCATGAAGTATTACAGTGACTTGCACGACGGAATACGGAGTAATATGTATGTCTATTAATATTCCAGGTTTTTCGTTCTACAAAGCTCTCAGGCTAATGTTTAAAGTACTCCATTTCAAGAATTGTTAATCTATTTTTTGATAGACAGATCGGGATTAGTTAAAAATTTTCTGATGCCACGTACAGGCAAGGAAAATGTTGGTTAAGATAATTCAAGATGTCCTGGATGAAAGGAAAGCAAGGAATAAGATTGGTCATCATGAACCAAATGAAAAGAAAGCCATGATCGATCTATTTATAGAAGTTGAAGATGAAAAGGGCCAGAAGTTGGCGGATAAGGATATAGTTAATATACTGCTTCTCTTCCTGATAGCCGGTCATGATAGCTCAGCCACTGCTGTTACATGGGCTACCATATTTCTTCATGATAATCCAGAGACATAGAAAAAAGCTAAGGTGGAATTGTATTCTCAAGGAGTTTTCAATGACGAATAATTAACTTGGTATTTTTGTTGTCAAGTCAACCTTAGGTATCAAGCATCAGTATCAGCTAGCTCAATGGCTAAAAAGTTTCTTTTCATTTCTGCAGGAAGAGCAAGAGGAAATTTTTAAGACAAGACCATCAGGACAGAAGGGGTTGAATCTCAAGGAAATAAGACAAATGGAATATCTTTCAAAGGCATCATTTTTTTTTCCTTTTTTCCCCTATTTTTGCCATGCATCAGTATCAGCTAGCTCAATGGCTAAAAAGTTACCTTTCATTTCTGCAGGAAGAGCAAGAGGAAATTTAAAGACAAGACCATCAGGACAGAAGGGGTTGAATCTCAAGGAAATAAGAGACAAATGGAATATCTTTCAAAGGCATCATTTTTTTTTCTTTTTTTCCCCTATTTTTGCCATGATAGATACTGATGCCGTATTATATATGAAGCCTATTCACATTTTTGTTTCCAAAGGCATATGACTAACGAAATTGATGTTCTTATGATTTAGGTGATTGATGAGACATTGAGAATTACCAATCTTTTATTTGCCAATTTTCAGGTGCCAAAAGTTGATGCCAACATCAATGGTTAGTTAATAGTGCTTGATTTCCATAGTCATTTTTGTTCAATATTCGACTTCCTATCTTACCAAATGAAAAACACTTTTTTCCAGGTTATTTCATACCAAAAGGTTGGAAGGTTTTGGTTTGGAACAGGGAAGTTCACATGGACCCTGAAAATTATGAACATCCAAAGGATTTTCTTCCTTCAAGATGGGATGCAAGTCATTTATATCTTAATGGATTGTACATTTAATTTTCATGTATTTAACGTAAAAAATGTTGCTGCTGTGCTTGCATGTAGAATAATAAATCGAAACCAGGAGCCTTCATTCCCTTTGGAGGAGGAGTCAGAATTTGCCCTGGATCTGAGCTGGCGAAGCTTCAAATCTTCATTTTCTTTCATTATTTTCTCCTTAACTACAAGTGAGTCAGAATTCTTCTCCATAGCAGCATTTTCATCCAAAAAAAACTTGGTTGCTTTATTCATTGTAGACTTGAACAAATTAATCCTGGAAGACGTGTTGTGTATTTCTATGGGCCAAGACCAACAGACCACTGCCTCGCAAGAGTCGTTGAGCTCCCATGATCAATCACGCAAAATCAGAGATTTAAATTGTGGTAACGATCACATTTTCGGTTGCGTCACATTTGTCACGGTTGTGGATATAATAGAGACTTTTGCAGTCATTGCGACTATCGTGATCGTGAATTTTTTTAAATTTTGCTCAACTCATTATAAAATATAATAATTTTAATTATTAATCATAAAACCTCTTATTTTATGATTTTTAAAGTAATTTATATCATATCATGTGTTTTATTTATTTAAAAAAATGTTTATAGTAAAATATTTATATTTAAAAAATTATTCATATGATAATTAGAAAATAATATGAGATAAATAAACATGTAAAAAATAAATAATCATAACGAATGATATATTTAATTATTTAATTACCGTACTCATCAAATTATTATCGAATTATATTATGTATAAATCAAATAATAAGTGATTAAACATTCATAAATTAAGTAAAAGCGTTACTATTTATGGGCCAAGAGAATTGTTTTATGGACTTACAGTAAATCAAACTCAGCAGCCTCCATGTTGTGGGCAATCTTTAATAACAATAACCTCAAGTCTACTTTCTCTGCCTTTTGACTAAATTGCACAAATCCACACAACTTCTCATCCCCTCACCTTGCATTCAATAATTTTTTTCTCCTAACCTTCATCCTTATCCCCATCTCTCAGTTTTTTTTTTTTTTGTTTTGTGCTATTTGCTCGTTTCCGTCAACCTCAAGTCTCATTCTCATCTCTTGTATCTCATTTTAAGTCCCAACAACTCTTACCCTCTTCTACCAATGCACCATAGACCAATCCAATCCTAAACACACAAAATTATGGCAAATTTGAAAATTAAAAACAAAAGTAATTTGAATGCTAAATTAATTACTTAAACTACATATACTTGATTTTGATTGAAGTTGAATTTGAGAGAATTAATATTTTTGGAAGTTTAAGTTTTGTGAGTTTTTTTTTTTTTTGAATTTGTAAATTGATGTTTATTTTCTTTCTTGTTGTTTTTATTTTAAGTTTTTAAAGAGAATCAAATGAAAAAAAATTTTCTTGAATTTTTGAATGAAAAACGAAGTAGCGGGCAATAGCAGACCACTATTGCTATTATTCAACATTACGCAGCAATTCGTGGCTGTGATACGTCCATTATAGACGATATTCAAATTATCTCCTATTTTTTTCTTCAATAATGGTGGTGAATGGTGGCGCGACCATGAAATAACAACTGTTATACCGCTATCCGATCACTATTTAAATCTTTGCGCAAAACACCAAAAATCTTAGGTTTGTAGACCGTGCACTACCAAGAATAATCGATCTTCTTCTACTTCTTTGAATAAATTTTAGTTGCAATTTCATTGTCAACTATGTCTAATACACCATGAAATTTACCAAAAACCTTAAATAATTATAATGATACTCATATTGCTACCTACTGATTCTTTCTGTAGTATCGATTTACTTAGATATTAGAAGCCACTAGCCACAAGAAAGCTAGAATGCTCAATTTGAAATTAAATATTTGAATGGATGCTCAATTTAGTATTAAATATTTTATTTAATATGAATATAAATTAAATATTATTAACTTATAACAATGTATAACTTTTAACGATTTTATTTTATATGAATAAAAATTAAACATTATCAATTTATAAATGTAAGACTTTTAATAGATTTGATGTACATGTGTAGTTAACTCTTTTAATAGTAATAGATGGCAAAAAATTGTAACATTTGGCAAAAACAAAGTTGATTCATAAAAAATAAAAGATTTTTAAACAAAAAATTAATATTACTTTCATTTTTTTCTCCATCTTCTTTCTTCCACCTCACTCTCTCTCCACTCTCTTCCAATCTTCTAACTCTTCAAATACTTGCAGCTTTTTGTCATTTTTTATTAAATCTACTTCATGTGTTCTAGTTCTTCAAATACCCATAGTCTTTCAATATTTTAATTCTTCAAATACTTATAACCTTTCACTAAAAACTCTTTACTATTTCATCATATTCTCTACTAACCCGAAACATATATTACCTTGTCATTTTTAGTATGTCCTTGTTTTTTTTTTATTTTTTATTTATGTTGAATTTATGCTATTATTGTTAGGATATAGTTCATAAAGAATCCTACATCATTAAAAAATCTAAATAAAGATATCCTATAAATAAAAGACCCAAGAACCTAATAGTTTAAACTTTGAGTTCAAGTGGTATATAACATGTATGTATGGACTCTCTAGTGTGCTCACATAGGTTCCAAGTGTGATTTTTCTCATCAACAAGTGGTATTAGAGCCAAAGTTACGACGGGTTCGAGTCTTAGTAGTGTTGTTAGGGGAAGATTGTTGGTAGATCAGAGGTTAACCACGTCCATCAACTCTATGTGCTCAAACGTTGGGAGTTTATGATAATATGCAAAAGCGAAATACTTAAGTAGGTGATGTGTTGAGTCAACATAGAGTGTAAGCTTGAGAGATCACTGAGACAACCTAGGTAGCTAGGTTGAGTATTGTTCCCTAGACCAAAAGTGCATTAGAAATGTGAGGTTATCTGGCCCAAAAAAGGTGTTGATAGGACTTACTTGCACGGAAAAGCCAAGGTGAAACTTGATTAAAACTCATAAGTGAATAGGAGAGTAAGTGGTATCAGAACCAAGGTTATGGCAGGTTCGAGTCTCAGTGGTGTTGTTGGGAGGGAGATTGTTGGTAGATCGGAGGTTGATCGCGTCCATTAACTCCATGTGCTCGAACGCTAAGAGTTTATGATAATATGTAAAAGTGAAACACCCAAGTAAGCGATGTGTTGAGTCAACTTGGAGTATAAGTTTCAAGGAGTATTGAGACAACCTAGGTAGATAGGTTGAGTGCTGTGCCCTAGCCCAAAAGTGCACAGAAATATAAGGTTGTTTGGCCCAAATGAGATGTTGATAGGATTTACTCGTACGGGAGAGCCAATGTGAGACTTGATTAAAACTCACAAGTAAACAAAGAAATTATTGGGATATGGTTCATATGTGAGTAAAGAATCTCACATTATTAGGAGAAAATCTGAATGAGATATCCTATATTAATAGAACTTACTCGCACGGGGGAGCCAAAGTGAGACTTGATTAGAACTTACAAGTGAACGGAGAGAGATTATTGAGATATAATTCACATGTAAGTAAAGAATCTCATTTGAATGAGATATCTTATATATGCATGAAAGATCAAATAACCTAATAGCTTAAGCTTTTGAGCTCAAGTGATATTTAACATATATGTATGAGCTTTCTAGTATGTTCTTATGAACTTCAAGTATAATTTATCTCTTCAACAATTATTTTATTTATTTGTGATGTTTGATAATAATTTGAGAATTGAAATTCATTGATTGTTGTTTTGGTATTAAGATAAAGTAAGTGTCTAAAAATAAAAACCTATGATTTTCTTGAACACAAAATGGTAACTATCCATTTAGCAAATCCAAGCTAGCAACATGAGAAACGAGGGACCTTACTTTTTCTTTCATTCTCTTATCTTCACAATAGACAAATATTCATGTCGTTTCTCTCACTCTAAAATCATAAAACTTTATTTTTTTTTTTATTGTTTTGTAGAAGAGTTGTTATGTAATCGAGAAAATAAAATCTTAGTCAAGTCTATTTTTAGACATTAATTCAATCATCTATGTAAAAGCATGGGCATCCTCTCGTATATGTACGAGATTAATATTTGTAGTATTAATGTGGTTTGAAAAACAAGAGAAAGTGGGTGTGAGCGAAAAAGAATGAAGCGGTAGAAAGAAAAGTCAGAAAAAAAATGAAAGTGAAAAATCATTTGTACCACTTGGATAGTCAAATCAGCAGAAGAAAAAAAATTACGTTAGCTAAATTTCAATTTCTTACGTTATATTACGGCACGTATGTTTCATTCAAATTTTTTTGATTAAAAAAATTTTACATTATTATAAATAAATAACGTTTAATCTTTATAAATATTTAATTATAAATTAAGCATTTAGGCCCACAAAAATAACCACAAACTTTCACATTAATGATTGATCATTAGAGTTTGGTCGCCATTTACGATGATCAACTAGTGTTCTAGTAATAGTAGTAGGCAGGATGAAATTTCGAGGTGGACTCCATATTGTCATTTGGAGAAAATTAACTTTAGGTCCCATGAGTAACATAATTGCATTATCTTAGTTTAGCTAGGTAAAGTAATTAACTTCATATCATTCCTTTTACATGAAATTACTCTTTAAGTTTTTCAGAATTAACTTGTGTTATTTATTTTTATTTTTTGCAATTAGATCATTGTTATTCAAAATATAATTTGTTCTTTATCATTTCATTCTTTTACTAATTAATTTTTCTCGGTTGATATGGTAAGTTCTAGTAATATATAATTTATTATGAAATCATGAACAAAAATCGAGACATCTTCTACTATGGAAAGAGATAAATTATTCCCATATTATAGTTTATTTATCATAGATTTTAATAAAATATAAATTTATTTAAACTTTCAAGAAAATCTAATTAGATTGTAAAGTACACAACTCCATGTTCCAAAAGTGAATGAAGTCAACCTGTGATGATTATAAATAACATATAACATGTAAAACCATAGTTCATGACAGAGTGAAATTATGATACAAAGTTTTAGTGGGAAGCATCTTCTTCCTCGCAGAATTTGGTGTATTCCTTTGCACCCATCAAAGATTCTAATTCTGATGGACTACTCGGCTTCACCTTGATCATCCATCCTTCTTCATATGGGCTTGAATTGATCTTCAACAGCCAAGATTTTAAAGTCAGTTGCCAAAATAAAAATAAGAATGTACAAGTGTTTTTCATTTTCCTATAGTTTCTCAGCATCAAGAAAAGCAGCATGTTGTACTGGAATTAATGAGAAAATTACCAGGCCAGGAGCTTCAGTAAGCTTGGAGTTAACCTCAACGATTTCACCTGAGATTGGGGAATTGACATCACTGGTTGCTTTAACACTTTCCACAGCTCCAAAGCCTTTTCCTTGGCTAACTGAACCACCAGGTTCTGGCAGCTCCACAAATACTACTTCTCCAAGATGGTCCTGTAAGCGGTATATATATATATATATATATATATATCATGTAAACTAAGTTACCGCATTGTGCCATACAGGGAAAAAGAAATGAAGCTATCATTTATAGAAAGGTAACAATTCGGGTCCAAAAATCATGTCAAAGTATATTCTGTGAATCCAAAACAGTCAATGGATTATTTTGTATCTTGTTATGTCATACCATTTTCAGACTAAACAGACTGTCATTTTTGAGTCTTGACTAGGGTTCTTGGCTCCCATTCTAACCATATTCCTCAAATCGAAGTCTCTAATTGTATCCTTCCATAGTTTGATCCACAGCCGATCAAGATTATACACAGATAACAAAACTGCTAGTGTACCTAAAAAGAGATGTCAACGGGTAGGGTAGATCATTTCTCATCTTCATTATTATATTTTTTATATTATATTAATCCTTATACTCATACTCAACTCAATGAATATTTTAAATTTATTCATATTTTTATTTTCACATATATTTAATGAGTACAAGTAATTTTCATATTTATAATTTAAAAAAAATAAAAAATAAAAAATAATTTTTTATTTATTTTTAAAATTTTTATCTTGTATATTTAAATAATTTTTTATAAATATATATTAATATTTTTTTCAATGAAAATATATTAATTTTAATTAATTTAAAATAATAATTTATATTATTTAGTAAAAATCTATTTACTATATATATAAATATAAATATTAGATACAGATTCAAGACGAATGTTATATTACTCATTTTTATCTTCGTATTCAATAAAAATTTAAAATTATATACATCCTTATCTTCATAATATAATGTCTATCTTTGTCTCCATTCGAATAAAAATTTAAACTTCGCATTGGATAGGAATAAGCTAACATCTCTATACCCAGCTATTTGAAAATCCCAAAGTAAAAAGCCAACAAGCATATTAGTCAGCAAAAGGCCACAACATAGCCTTTGGAGAAATTTCACCCCCAAGAGCAAATTCATACAGAAAAAATATATTCCAATCTATTGAATACGAAATAACGAAGTTACCACTTGATTTACATGCATCTTTCAGCCCCTAATTAGTAGGAGAAAAAAGTTGATGATTAAGGGAAGAAAGAAGGGAAGTAACCTGAGCATGGTCAGTGATGCCAATGGTAACCACTGGACCTTCATGCTTCACCCATTCATGTGAATTGGCATATTTCAACCCATCCAAAACTGCAAAATTCAACACCCTTTCCATATTACAATCCTTAATTCCATAAAATGGTGGCTAAAAGATAAAAAGTTAAAAGCAGTTCTCTCCCACGACCCCAAACCAGAGACATGAAACGGTAGGAGAAAAGGGGTACCAGTGGAAAAGCATCTGGAGAGGGAGAATACAGGGGAGAGGTGAGCTTTGGAGGCACAAGAGATTTTGAGTGCATTGGCAGTGGAAGAAGCCCACATTCTCAGCGCCATGTTATTGCTATCTTTCGTAGTTTACGGGCTTTTGCCTTTGGTTGGCTGCAAATCTATATGGGCAATGAAAATGAAGAGAAGTTGGTGTGTATGGTTTCTGCCTGGTTTTATCTTGTATGAATGGTGGGCAACGAAAGCCTCATCCTGAGACTCGACTTACAAAGACAAGCTGCTGTTTTTCCTATTTATGTGACAAATTTTCCTGTCCTCCTGTTTTTTTTGCTGTCGCCGTATACTCTTTTTCAAACTATATATCGTATGCAAATGCCATATTTGATTAGGAAAACAATTAAAATCATTGGTCAAATATAATATTTTGTCAAAATCAAATTTTTTTTAATTATTTCTCAAGCTAATTTGGGTGTTTGATAAATAAATATATATACAAGAATGGTTTTTTTTATTAAAAAAAAGGTTTACAATAAATAAATATATAATAAATAAAGTACCTTTTTTTTTTTATATATATACAAGAAGGGTTTGCAAACCCGTTTATTTGAAGGGTCGGGTGGGTCTAGTCTCGTGGGCAGATCTAGTATTTGGGAAAGTTTCAAGCTTTCAGCAAGAGCCTGAGAGGTGAGAAGTCCCCCAAGGTGAGGACTCGGAAAAGGCCGAAAAGAGAAGGTTAAAGCTTGGATCTTTAGCGTAGACAAGGTTTGAGTTTTTGATCTGTTTTCCTAGGAAATTAACAAAAGAGAGTAAATTCATCCATACGCATCAGAGGTCTGATTATGATATGAGAATGGAAGAGATTGTAGAGGAAACCAGTGGAAAACATAAAAAGATGGTGGAAATTACTCTCAAAACCATTGGCCCTGCTCGCCCTTCTCGCCTTCATGTCCCTTCTTCCATTAAAGTACGTTTCACTCTGTTAATTTACTTGATGTTTTCATGTTTATTTCTTTGCATCTTGTTTTGGTTGTGATCTTGTAAATCATAGTTTGTCTATGCCCTTTTGTTTACAACAAAATTGTAAGAGTCAATGCAGAACATCATGGCTATGATAAGATGGTGGGAGTTAAATATGTTCACAAATCTGACCTTTAAGTCTAATTTCTTTGGATGAACCATTGAAGCCTTTGAAGTTAAATAAGGTTGTTGATTTAATTATATAGTCATGAGAATATGCTAGGTCAGTTTAAGCATTACTTTACACTTTGGTTCTCATACTGGAAAGAGAGAGCCCTAGAGTTCTTGCGAGCAGGAAAATTGAGATGCACTCTGAGATGTACATACTTGCGAATGGACGGCAACTTTTCAAGTATCTATTATGTATTTTGAGTTCTTGTGGATTCACCTTGAACATTAATATCCATAGAACCTACACAGTATTTGATCATATTTTTACTTTTGCAAGATAGATTCTCTGAAGTGATTTCTTTGGTTCACTTTATAAAGAACCGTCACTATGTATCAAAAACATTAAGAGCATCTTTGGTTACATTTTCCTTTTGAGAGTGTAGCATGTATCATAGTGATTAGAAAACAAACTTGATAAAAAATTTTTTAGTACCATTACACATATTTATCATGTGCTTGTAACTTTATCAAATTAGGTTCTTGATTTGAGAAAATTGATAGCTGGAAAGAATCGTCTACCAGTAGAGAATATGAAGCTTATCTTGCAAGGGAAGGTGTTGCATGAACATGAAGATGAAGATGACATTTACATTCAACTCAATGATGGTGGTATAGATCTTAGCTTTAATAATATTTTTTATGTTCAATAGTTTGCTTTCACAGGATACAATTATCATTAGTGGTTTGGGGGAAGGAATTACTCCCACCCCAAGTCCCCTCACATTTATAATTGAAAACCAATGTTTTATCTTGGATCTGTAAATTTCTTTTATATGGTCCTTGGTACTGTTTATTTATTGATATGTTGGCTCGGTGTATCAATCTTTTAGATTCCCTCATTGTTGCTGTCAAACCAAAGGCGCCAGTTGGACTCAATATTGATGATGATGAAGAGGAAGATATGGTAACTGAATTAACACTGTCAGTAAACTGAGCTTGGATGCCACTTTTATAAACCAAGAATTTGTATTGATAATTTCTTTTTCCTCAATTGTTGAACAGAAATTTCAGCTGCCACAGTCAACAAGCCGATGGAAGAAGAAGCTTTACTCTTTTCTACATAATAGATTGAAGCTTCCTGGTGAGAATCAACTTGAATTGAGCTGTTGTTATTTTTCCAAATAACAGTTCACTTGTTGACCATCCCTTATATGTCTTTTTGTAGATATCCTTTTGATGGCAATATTTTCTCTCGGTATTAAGGCATGGGCTCTTATTATTTTATGGTTTATACTGGCACCTGTTGCCCATAAATGGGATCTTGGACCATTATATGTAAGTTGGCTTTTGTTTCTTCCGTACTACTGTGTATTTATGTTGGATATATCCTCTTTTTCTTGTTGGGAAGTGGGCTGTATGGGTGAGTTCTCTTATCCAGTTTTTTTGTGTTTCTGCTAGACTGCTAGATATTGAGGAATGCTGGTACTGTATTGTTTCTTCTTTGATACCATATAAATAAAATGGAGCTTTTTGTGGTTGTTGAGGTCATTTTCTTCTAGAAAGCTGTATCATTTGGTTGTCTTATCATATTACATTGGATTATTTTCATTTGGGTTTCTATGTGTTAGGAGAAGTAGAAGAAAATACTTGGATTTTGTGGTGTTCCTTCAAAATTTTTTAGAAGTATTTAGGCAATAACTTCTGATGCTCATAGCCCTTATGTTGTTATAATTTGTCCATACCATGGCCTTTTGGATCAAATTTACTGTATATAAAAGAAATAGCAAAATCAAAATGAGGACTATGATTATTGAAACACAAAGAGAATCTATCACACATTCATATGTAAAATTTATTTTGATTATCTGGATCATTTGCATTATGAAAGATGTTCATATTTTCTTTTGCTCCTCATTTTCTCAGATACTTGGTACCGGCTTTTGTATAATTTTCCTGAATCTTGGACGGCGGCAGCCTGGTGATGTCAGGTATCCTCTTGATTCTATCGGTTAAGGTAGCAAAAGTTTATAATATAAATATAAGATACCAACAAATAAACTTGATTAAGGTCACATGACTCTGACACCTGATCTGGTGGTAAAATTGGCAACTTGGCATAATAGGTCCATGGTTGCTGACCACCTCTGACTCTCTCTGACAAACAACTTGATTAAATGTTAACAAAGCTCATGAACATGAATCTCTTGTAATTTATCATAGTGTTGTTTTGGGGTCTTTGTTTAGTTTCTAAATCTCATAGAATGTGACTTTTTTTTTTCTAAATATGAACTGCTTATTTCCTTCCACAGAGACTTATCTTTTCCATTCTAATATTTACAGTGCATATTCCATCTTCAATGAAGATTTTAGAGAGCTTCCTGGGACCCTCAATGCAGATGCTATAGATAGAGATATAAGGACAGGTCAGTTTTGAGCCAGTATCACACCATATGTGATTATCAAAGTGATTACATTGTAAATATGTGTTTTCCATTTAAGCAAAACAAAATTGTAAAGACATCTTTCAAGTACTCTTTGTTTCCTTAATAGAAAATGAAAATCTTCATCTTCATGAAGTAAGGGATCCATAAGAATAATAATCTTTCTCACAGCAATACCATGGAATCAAAGCATGTTTAATTATGAATTATTGGACTAGAGGAATAGTCGTGGGAGGTTATGAAATCGAAATCTGGCTCAAATGTGAAATAATTCTCCATTAGTTGCCAAAGAGTTTTTTGAGTTGTGTAGCAGGACATTTCTAATCCAGAACTCTAATGTCGTACAAATAAATCATTCATGTCTTTTGTGATCTTTTATGATGATTATATGTTAACTTGTTCAAGAACAGTGTAAAAAGTTAAAACCGTCCACTGACCATATTGAGTGCAGATCTGTTTCTTCAAAGGGTACCCAAGGATGTGATGCAACCTTGAAAAAGACATGGTACTTTCAAAAAAGCAAATTCTGAATTTTTGGCCTAACTTTGAAATATTGGTGGTATATGTCAACTATGGATTGTATAGTTTCCAGGAATAATTTGCAGTATTATACTGCCATTGTTTGTGATGGAGGTTAGCAACTTTATAACCTTAAACGATTGATGAGCCTGTGAATCCACTTGCTACCCCACCGAAAATACTACGTGAATGATATTCATAAGAATAAGATACTCAGCAAATGGTTCAGAAATATGCATAAAAAGATGGTGCTTTTCCTGGAAAATTACAAAGGCCTTCTACACCTTTTGTCCTGGAAGTAACTATTTTTATTCCTCTGTTGCTATGTGGCGAACAAGATAACTTAAAATAAAGTAATCCATCTAAAATTCATTGAAAACCTCCTGGGGCTGCTTGGAAAGTTGATATTTGTGTAAGGGATGATGCAAAGTTGATAATGTATTAGGGTTCCGTCAAAACGACATTACAATGGAAGTTCTTCTCATCTCACTGCCAAATGCACCTAAGATGCCAATAAATACTAGATTTTGTTGTTACAGGCATGTGAATGTGGATCCATGATATGTCCATTGGCACGTAATCTTTGACTTCTCCAAGATCGTGGAATAAAGAACCCATGTGTGTTTGAACTTGTTGAGATATTTACATATGTTTATCAACATGAAAGCAAAGCTTTTGTTGGCCCATCTGGTTGATTCTAGCATAGGGCAGTTGCCGTGCAGTCAGGTTTTCTTCATTTGCATGAATAATACGATGGATTTAGCTCTCTCTCGGCCTATTTTTGTTGCTTTTGAATCAAAATTAAATTCATAACAATTATATTTAATTATTTTAATTTAAAATTTTTTAAAAAATATAACACTTATAAAATTTTAAATATATCAAAATTAATGTTCATCAAGCAAACTCTAAACAAAAAAGTTGGAAGGTCTCTCCTAATTCAACAAAAAAACAAATTGATGGTTGGTGGGTGTGGGTTTGGTGGTGACCTGTGGTCCGACAAAACAGAATCATATATCAAATGAGATATTAAAATCCAAAATATCTGAAAAGAGAAAAACCAAATCAAGCATACAAATTAGTGATAAAATTATAATTTTTTATAAGTAAATGATCAATATAAAAAATTATTTTGGTTGTGGACTAATGGAAAGGTATATATGTGGGAGAATCTTTGTTGCTTTTCTAATAATTTAGTAACTTTGTAACAAAAAAATAAAAGAATAATTCAGGAAATTAGATTTTTTTATGATTGAACTTTTTCAAGATTTTGTCTGCAAATTGCAATTATTTAAGTAAATTGAACATTTAATTTTTTTTTATTTTTATTTTATATGATGCTCGTTGTTTTAGTAAAAGTTGTTATGTAGTAATACTTTAAGCCAATTGGATTGCCAAAAAGTTCTTGTCTTTTAAGGAGATTGAAATTCACTCGAAGATAAGCTATGTTTTGTACTATTGTTGACAAATATTTTTTTAATTTTCCTTACAAGGTTTCATATTTAAATTTTAAAATTAACAAGTATGATTTATTAAATAAAATAATTTAAATTAATGTGTACGGAAAAATTAAATACTACCTAAATATTAAATAAATTTTAAATAAATTGTTAATATTTATAAAAATAATTTGTAAGGGTTAATGCAAAATAAATAAATAAATAAAATGTGTGGAACCCACATATTGGGACTCTGTCTTCGGTCGTTGACCAACCGATTATGGACCCCATCCCCATCCCCCAACGTTCAATTTATTTATTTATTTTTTTTTGAAAATCAACTTTCAATTTATTTATTTATTTATTTTTAACCGTTGGCTTGCAGGAGAAATGAATGACTTCCGAGAGATATTACCATATTATGTGTTAATTAATATATAAGATTTAAGATGTCAAATTTTTTAATACCAAATTATTCATAAAATATTTTTAGGTAATATATATGTACAAAAATAAAAAAATTAAATTGTACAATTTAATTAAATAAGATGCTACTCATATTTAAATTTATTAAATTTTATTTTTTAAAAAATTATTAGATAAATAAATTAAATTTAAATTTAATTTTTTTTAATATTCTTTTTTATCCATAACTCGTGCTAATCTCATATTGCAAAAGAATTAAAAGATAAAAAAAAAACAAGAATTTAAAAAAAGATAATATTTGGCATGTATCGTAAATAAAATCTTAAAATAAAAATAAGAATTTTAAAAAGAGAATATTTGGCACGTACCGTAAATTAAAATCATAGTCGCTAGATAGAAAGAGAATGTAGGCTTTTACCATTATCTCGTGACATTACATGTGATTTGTCGTTTTGCTCCATAAAATTCTCAAACCGAACAAACTCTTTTGACTTGGATCTTTGTGAACAATTAACAACAGATAAATCCCATTTTCCGGCCTTCACATGCAAAATTCCTTTATTTTCTTTCTTTTTTATTTCAAATTTTAAATATTTAATTGCAAAATTTATTATTTTTTATTTATTTTCTTCATAATTAATTAAATAAGAATTAGGACAAAAGCTGTGAAATAAAAAATAATATTGATAAGAATAAATAATATTTTTTGTAAAAAGTTAGGATTACAACAAACAAAGAGTGAGAGGAATTTGTGCCGTTTGACTAAGCAGACAGGTTCTTTTTCTTTCTCGTGGGATCAAAAGAATCAGGATCGTTCAATATCTCTTGATGAAGGGTTTTGACGTTGTGATTCTTGTAGGGGTGACGTGGCGGAATCTGAGGCATGAAAGATACCCGACCAGGATCCATCAGGGGCAATCGTTGCCCTTCTGGGTTTGAGCCTTATTTCTAGGTCAAACCGTCCCTTTTGTTTACTCCAAGGAATATTCCGGCCCGTAATTTTATTTTGTTTCATGACGAAAATGTCCTTTATTTAATTATTTTCTTATTCAAAGCCAAATTCAAGCTTTAAATGTTCATTGGAATCATTGGTCCATAAAATGAATATGAAAACAATATGCATAATTAAACTATCAATGAAATTTCAATATTTCATTAATAAAAACAAATTTTTAATTGTTACACTTTCATCTTAAATTTCGTAAAATTATTTAAGAGAATTATTTTTTTTACAAAATCCTCAATTGATTTATTTGAGAAATGATTTTTTTTATATTTATTCAAAATATAACAAAATAAAATACAAATAATATCTGTGTGCATTTAATAGTTATTAAAATGAAGATTTTATCTTGTTTAATTTATTAAATGCTAAATCCGGTTATTTTCTTCAAAAGTTTTGGATGAAAACTTAAAAAGATATTCAAATGATTTGTACATTTAATTTAAACACGACAAAATCAAAATGCTTTACAAATCGACAAATTTTCATAACTTGACAAAAATTTTGTACATTTTTGTCTAGAATTAAAAAAAATTACCGCAAAACATGTTATTATAGGTGAATTGTAAAAATTAAAATATTAAGAACACCGTAATGAAAGAGAAAATAAAAATATTGTAAATACTAAAGGGTAACACAGTCAATTGACAAAAAGAAAAGCAGGTGTTCGGGTCGTTGGGCCTAAGGTTGAAGGAGCCCTAGTGCCCTATTTGACCAAACAACAAAAAGGACAAAAGCACCCTTAAATGACAACTTTTCACTCCAACGTCCCACCTTTGTTTCCCGCATTTGACCCTACCACTTTCCTTAAAGCCATCCTCCTTCCCCAAGGACTTCCTCGTCATTTTAAAACAAGCCGCCAAAACAAAATAAAATTAAAAGCCTAATCAGTGGACCCCACTTTCCCACCTGGCAATCTATGTGGACCCTTGATTTTCCCATGTGGCATCAAATGAAGACGCTCCCTCCCTTCATGCATTTGCCAATTGCCACGTGTAACTGTCAGTTTAGAGGCCAGAGCCAACAGAACTGCTCAGAATTAAAATAAAAAATAGACATTTCAAACGTCAAAAAGAAGAAAAGAAACCGAAGTCCACTCAGCTAATTTGAAAAAAAAATCTAAAACGATTTCTCTGGTTTGCTTTCTCTTTCTCCTTCTCTCTGCAGCAAAGAGCAGAGGGGCAGAAACGGCAGCAGCAGCTGTCGCTTTTGTTTTTCATTTGTTTTTAATTTTTTTGGCTAGTTAAAAATAAAAAATTTCTTCAAAGGGTGGGGAGGGGAGTGAAATGAATCAAATGTGATGGGAAGTGGAGTTTCCACGCTCTGTCCTTGCTTTAACCCGGTGACAAACCGGTCGAACCGGCGACAGGATAATCACCCGGACCTGATCTTTGCTTCATCAGAGCCGTTGGATGAAACCCTAGGCCACTCCTTTTGTTACGTTCGATCTTCCAATCGTTTCCTCTCCCCGACTTCTTCCGATCGTTTCGTTTCTCCTACGCACTCTCTTCGTTTCTCTCCGTCGCATGACCCGAAAACCCGAACCGGACCCGAAACTTTGTTTAAAGCCATATCCGGAGCCTCCGTGAGTGCTAACACGACGACCCCCAGAACTGTCCTCCAACTTGACAATATTGACGACGATGCCACTGAGAATACCCTCGGTTACGGCGTTCCGAGCAGTATCGTTAGCGGGAATGGCTTCGAGAGCACATCGTTGTTTAGTGCCTTGCCACTGCAGCCGGTGCCACGTGGTGGAGCCCATGACCCGATGGAGCGGGGTGGGTTCATGTCGGGTCCTTTCGAGCGCTGGGCGGTGTCAGGTCCACTGGAGGCCAACGCGGGTCCCGAAGGGAGAGTACATTTCTCGGCACCGTTGGGTGGCATTTACGTAAAAAAGAAGAAGAAGGGCATTTCAGCGATTTTGAAGAATTTGTCCGAGAAGAAACGGCCTTGGGTGGTTCCGGTGTTGAATTTCGTCGGGAGGAGGGAGAATTCCGAGGAGACGGAGGCTGCGGGAGCGGCGGAGTGGAAGACCGATGGTGATGTGCAGTGGGCGTTAGGGAAGGCCGGGGAGGATAGGGTCCACGTCGTTGTTTCGGAGGAGCAAGGGTGGTTGTTTGTTGGGATATACGACGGTTTTAATGGGCCGGATGCACCCGAATTCTTGATGGGTAAGCTCTATCGAGCTGTTTTCAATGAACTCCAAGGTCTATTTTGGGAGCTTGATGAAGAAACTGAAAATAAAACTGAAAATGAAAATGAAGCTAAAAATAATAGTAACTCACCTAACTTAATAATAGCTACAGCTAGTTTAAATAACACTGATAGTGAAACTGAGAATCGAATGAAATCTGTTAAGGAGGTTAAGAGTGCCGGGGAGAGTTTAATTGGGGAGATTGAATCGAGTGGAGTGGTAAAAGAGACGACGAGGAGGGTTACATTTGAATCAGAGGGGACTGAGATTAGGAGGAGGAGGTTGTGGGAGTTTCTAGCCGAGGATGACCCGGAAGATGGGTTGGATCTTTCAGGGTCTGATAGGTTTGCGTTTTCCGTGGATGATGCAATTAGTGTAAGTAAAGAGGCGTCTGCAGTGGGTAGGAGGTGGTTGTTGTCGAAATTGAAGCAGGGGTTGTCGAAGCATAGAGAAGGGTCAAGGAGTTTGTTGTTTCCATGGAGGTTTGGGTTGGAAGAGAATGAGAGGGCTGAGGTGGTAGATAATAGAGTGGAGGAGATGGTTCAAAAGACTGGGAGGAGAAGGAAAGAAGGTCCGGTTAATCATGAATTTGTTTTGAGGGCATTGTCGAGGGCTCTGGAAGTAACTGAACTATCATATTTGGATATGACAGATAAGGTGCTTGGAACGAATCCAGAGCTCGCATTGATGGGTTCGTGTTTGTTGGTGGTTTTGATGAGAGATGAGGATGTGTATGTGATGAACGTGGGGGATAGTAGGGCAATTGTTGCACGGTATGAACCAGAGGAAGTTGGTTCCAGTATGGAGGGAAGAGGGCGAGAGGAAAATGGGTCAAGCATGGAGGGTATAGTGGAGGAGACATTGGCCACGGGTGAAAAGGCAATTAAGCTGGTGAAGGAGGCTCCTGTTGAGCCCATGAGATTGATTGCATTGCAGTTGTCAACTGATCATAGCACAAGCATTGAAGAAGTAAGTTCTGAATATTGAAAAATTTTGTTCATTTCCTGTTTTCTGCCTTCACCTTTGAGTGTTGAAAATCTTTATTGTAGCCTTCATTAATATGAATTATGTGGCTTGATAATTTTCTCTGCTTCAGACTGGCATGAAAGCTACATTTTTGAGTTGTATAGGTTTGGATCTTATGGGACTCCAGTTCTGCTTTAAGGCTCATTCCTATCTTGGATCATTAGGAAAATAATGGTTTTGACAAATCTTATTGCAACTCCCAAGTTTTATTTATGTTTTTCGTTAAGAGCTTCAGTGAAATGCTAAGTGACTTAGCAGGAATGTCTTGTGTAGATGGTTGTACCCTTAGGCATGCTATTGTTTTCTTGTGAACATACTTTTATTAGGTTTCCTCTGTTTACCACTTTAGCCTGACAGTTTAATCTATCTCAGTTATGCCTTAAGCTACTTTATATTGCTATTGTGTACACATTAATTCTACTTGTACTCTCTTGTGATTTTGATCTGTTAGGGAAAAAGAATTTAGGGAGTCCAATGTTAAGCAGATGAGGTTCTTGCTCTGGAATGGCCTGTGCAATAGCAGTGTGCTTCAAGATGTGTTTGGAGAGAGGTTCTTTTAGATGAATTCTCATGCAGATCATGCACTTTGTAAAAGCATCTCTTATGTGGACCTTAGGACAATACCTTCCCATCATCCTTTTTTTCCTGGAAATTGCTCTAGCAAAGGGATAGTAGATCTCAGACAAGTCTATAAGTCTTGTATAAGTCTTTTGTATTGCTTTTTAGAATTTTTATAATTGCTTATTTAAACTGTTTAGAATAGTCAAATCTATTGAAAGTTGGGTTTCAAACAGTTTAGATAGGACCTATAATCTGTTGGAATTTGAAACCTGGTGCTTTTTCCTCTGGTGATTCATAGAAGGTTATGAGAATGATTGACATTTTTGTCTGGTGAAGGTCTTGAGAACATTAACTCAGAATTTTGGTTAGAAGAACATACCACAACTTTTTATAATTTAGAGGGTACCTGATCACAGTTTGAAGTTCAACAAGTATGTGGAGTTGACTAGGATAAGGATCCATAAAGAGATGGATCTATGTCTTCTAGGATTGTAAGGAAAATTGATATGCATTAATCTTGGGAGCACCCAGTGATGTGAATGCTGGTTTTGTATTTGGTGAAATTTCGTTAATATTCCTGGCAAAACAGTTCATTTTGAAGAAAATTTTGTTGCAACATAATAGTATTAGTAAGGATAAGCAATTGGTTGAACTCTGAGTTACTTCAAGGTAATTAAAATTATAAGGATATTATGATAAACTGGTGTTGGATCGACTGAAATAATATTTTCCGTTTGGTAAAAGACTGGATTTATCTGCAATGTTTTATAATCCCTTATTCCATTTTAAGAAAATAAAATCAATTAGGTATATTTGGATTGCCATGCTCAGATCTTGTCCCTTTATTCTTGTCATGCTGACGTGGGTGCTTTGGTATAAATGGAAGTGTTTGTCTATTTGGTGGATGATGCTAAGATTTATAATGGGCTCCCCAGCTTATGGAAGCTTTAAGAAAAACCTGATTATGTACCATTCTGTGCTTTATGTTTGGAGTTTTTCTGCAGCTAGAAGAGTTCTGGTCTTTTTATACTTTTTATTTTGGACAACTCTGATCTTAATTTTGTCTGTAGTCATTGTTGAGGAATATTGGGATAATAGGGGATGCTATAGCTTGACAGCTGTGAATGCTGCATTTAGAATGAAAGAAGTAGCAAGATTCCTGGGTTTGATCTCCTTGTGCAACCTAAAATGGTGTTCCTTAGATCATTATTTCATGTATTGCCAGGGACAATGATTTGGCTCTTGTATATATCTCTTTCCCTACTCTTTCTCAAAATTTGGATCCTTTACACACACTTAGGTTTTCTTTAGTTTGGGTTGATGAGGGCCTTGTATGAAACCATCTACTTCAGTAATATTGCATTGGATGTCCCCAGCTGTATGAATGATTATATTGCTGAATCACTCTTTGATTTGTGCAGGAAGTCATAAGAATCAAGAATGAGCATCCAGATGACAGCCAATGCATTGTCAATGACAGAGTGAAAGGTCGACTTAAAGTAACCAGAGCATTTGGTGCAGGATTTCTGAAAAAGGTTCTTTCACATGACTTTTCATTGTTGAAGCCTTAAATCTTATCTATGATAGGTTTGTTCAATTTAGGGATTGCATGGAGTGGCTTATCAGTTATTTACTGTGAAGAGGCTATAAAGGAAATCCTGAAGGTTAAGAATAGTACAAATTTACTTCCCTTTTCTCTGGGGAAGAACTAATTTATTTTCAGACAACAAAATATTTCAGCTGTCCAACTTTTTAATGTAATTGTTTTAAAATGTCCCAAGTAACAAATTATGCATGCTTTTTGTAGATGAGAAAAGGGGAGGGGGCTTAATGGGAGAGGAGGAAAATGGCTTGTTACACATGTTATATTATGTTAAAATATTTTTAGGTATATAACCAGCTTATGCAATAACATGATCTCCACATTTTTGCAGCCCAAGTTGAATGATGCATTATTGGAGATGTTTCGGAATGAGTACATTGGTACCGTGCCATATATATCCTGCTCACCTTCTCTTTGTCACCATAGACTTTGCCCAAGGGATCAATTTTTAATCCTCTCCTCTGATGGATTATATCAGTATCTGAGCAATCAGGAAGTGGTTTCTCTTGTTGAGAGTTTTATGCTGAAGTTTCCAGATGGAGACCCTGCACAACACCTGATAGAGGAGGTTCTTTTCTGTGCTGCCAAGAAAGCTGGTAAACATTCTTTCTATAATTTGCTTCATATCCCTTCCCCCTTGCGTATAATGTGAAGAAGTAATTCTAAGATTGAAAGGAAACAAAGTTGGGGGATTGCCAAATGGGCATGAATTTTCACTTAGATGGGATCCAAAGTAGTCTTAGTTTCTGCTATCGCCCTACATAATGTGGTTACCTGTGGCTTTTGCTTAAGTCGTAAAGTTTTTCTACTGTTAAATTCCTTTTTTGTTTACGCAATTCTTTATGTTGAAGTGTTTAGCACTATGGATTGTTGTTTGGATTACATGGTTAACATAATCTTCAATTGCATGCTATTCTTTTTTTCCCCTCTATTCTACTTTTGGGTTATATTTTTTTTGGAATATCTATATTCATATTCTTGTTTGAGGTTTTGAAATCCCAAATTCAAAGTTTTCACTATTACACCAGACTGAAAAGCTGGCTTTATAATCTGGGTAAACTTTTTAAGTTGGCTAAAAAATTGAAAGTTTCTAAGCTGTTGAGATGAAGCTAACTGCTTGAGAGATTTTATAATTTCAAGAACACCTTTTCTTCTTTTTATAGAGGATGTTAATAAAAAAGATGTCAACTTTTTCCGGGACTGAATTCTATATTGGCTTGGATTGCTGCAGGCATGGATTTCCATGAATTACTGGACATCCCACAAGGAGATCGAAGAAAGTATCATGATGATGTCACTGTCATGGTGATATCTCTGGAGGGAAGAATTTGGAAGTCATCTGGAAAGTACTTATGAAACTCTTCACATACTGGCTTCACAACAAGCAATTTCTAGAAACAAGTGACTCAGAACACGGAAGTTTCAAATTCCTTAAGTCCACTTCTTTGAAGCACTTGGAAAATGTGGGTGCTGGCCCATTTTTCGTGGGTCTCAAACGGGTTGTTTTTCGGGTCTTACACCGTAAGCATACAGTTGATACGAGGAAGTCCAGATGATACTATCAAAGACCAATGTTAGATAGTCATCAGGAGTTGAGTAGATGCCTGAAATTTTATTTCCGGATAAAAGAAAAAATCTGCAGATGGGATTACCAGGAAATGCTCTTTAGGGACAGAAAAGAAAGAGATAATCTTTTTGTTTCTCATTTTCATTATTTTTCCTTTACTTTGCTTTCTTAGAGGATTTTGCATAGGCGGGAGGCTCATTCAATTCTGGGTGCCTTCCTTTTTCATCTTTTTTAGTTTCTTTTTAGAGCCAAAAAGACAAAGTGAAAATAGTCTGTAATTTGGTGGTGGGGGGATACAAACATTAGGTATAGTTACCGAACTCGAGCATTTCCTCGTCAAAAGTGAGCATCTGTCATTTTGAAGGGTGATGTTGGTTCACATTAGTTGGAATTTCTTCCAGGATCCTTTTTTAGAGTTTATCTTCTGCTCGCGCAAACAATTTTTCGAGCCTTCGAGCACAATAATCATCTCCATGGTGAGTTCAAACTATATACCAATATCAACAAAAAATAAAAGTAAATTAGTAAATTACTCTTGTATGCTTACATTTAAGGAAGAAATTTAAGGATTTTCGAAAGACTTATGGGATAATACTCAAATAGAAATGAAAAAATTGGGTTAGAGATCCACGTAGAGAGCTGGTAGCCTTAACCGAATGTGTTGTCACAAGAAAGCCCGAAGGCTGCGCCCGTCCCCGTCGGGGGGGATGCTTACCATCTATCCATTTTAGGAAGACAGGTTGTCGATATTTGAAGCTCTATCACTTTGCTCTTGGGAAGGAATGTGGGATTGCATGAATTGCCCCTCAAAAGAAAAAAAGAGTGAGGGAAACAATTTTTAGAAAAGAAACTGTATAACTTTTCTCAACAGCATGAGCAATTATGCAGCAACAATGTTTCATTTGATGGAACAGCTACTTTCCTCTCTGCTCCAAACAAGAACAAAATTTGTTTGAGTCGAGGGATGATTATTCGACAAATAGACAATTACCATCATTAGATACTAAACCATCGGTTATCATTTATTTATGAGGAGCCTTTTCTTGTGGATTGAAGCAATTCTTTAACATGATCTTTTTACTTGCTTTTGGATAAAAGAATAACGGAGCCTGTCAATAACCTCAGCCCCAAATGGAAAGACAACAGCCTTTCTAGCAGTCTCTAAGTCAACCCCACGTGCTTGGAAGTAGAAGAGTCAGCTGTCTTCTATGTCACTTATTGCAGCTCCATGAGAGCACTTCACGTCATCAGCAATAATTTGGAGATTAGGTTTGATATTTACAGTCGCTCCAGGCTCAAGAAGGAGGCTCTTTGTTAGTTGCCTGCATCAGTCTGCTGTGCATATCTGCAAAAAATTACAAGCAAATTACAAATTTTATAAAAGAATTACCTGCCCTGCTCTCCACCAACTCAACACATGCTGGAGAAAGTTTACTACTTCTTTTATATTAATTTTGACATTGTCAGTCCACTTCTTGCCATCATCTGAAGGTCAGGTCAGGTCAGTGCAATAGAAGTAACAGCTTATTTGGTATTCTTTCCCCACTATAGGAGGTTTCCACAATTTCAGATAGTGGCTAGTATATTCATGAAAGGAGTGGATATTTTCTTGTATTGAGAGTCAAGTCTCTAATAGTGGTGGGTCTTCCCTAAAATACTTAAAAATTACGTCTTTAACTACTTCTCAAGCCGAAATAATGATATTTATGCTATATGTTATATTATATATAATTTTTTATAGTTTTTGACACACAAATGGGTTCATAGCTCAGTGGTAGAGCATTTGACTGCAGATCAAGTGGTCACCGGTTCGAATCCGGTTGGGCCCTTGTTAATTTAAATTTTTTTTTTCCAGTTTGAACTTGGTGTTTTGGTAAGTCCAATTTCCTTTGTTGTTTTTTGGTAAGTCCAATTTCCTTTGTTTTGGGTATATTTGGTAACTACAATCCCCTGCAGTTCCAGTCGATCAAGGAACGTTTTAGCAATCAATGTGCAATTGGAGATGGATGAGAAGAGTGTGAGGCTGCGCAAGCCATGAAGTGGCCTTCTATCTAGATAGACATGCAAGTCTGCAACCCTGTAGTTCTCACAGGTTTCCAGGTCTCACTCTTAACTTTGGGTTTCTATTTCTTTCCAATAATAAGTCTTATTAATAATAGCCTTTTTCATTGTGCTAGTCCAGATTCAGATATGTCGGTGTCTGAAATTGGACTTTCTGATGCTTTGACAAATGTTTGATATCATACATAAAGTGTCATCCCCTTCCCTGCTCTCTTCCAAAAATAAAAATTTCTATCTTGCATGCAAAAATTCTCAGATATGTGGTTGAAAATCGAGTAGCTGAACTTTTGGAACTGGATTAGATACGCAGGCTAGGCCATGGATTGAAATGTCAGCATCTGATGTTATGGGGCTGTAAGTTTAGACAATGGTTTTTTTCATTTCTGTTTCTTGTCCAAGAAGACAGTTTTAGCTGTTTTAAAAAAATTTATGTTGGCTCTTTGTCATATCATATGGTTACTTTCAGTCAGAGAATTAGGGTAAAGTTTCTTACAAGAAAATCATTCATCAAAGATTACGTGATATTCTTATTGCAACCTAATAATAGTACCAAAATTTCAATAACAAAAGAGGGTACCAGAGTATTTTGTGATACAAGAAGTCAGGGTTACGGCCATCAATCACGTTGTTCTCAGAAGACCCTGCATTCTCAAGGGTCCCTCCACCCAATGCTAGCTTTGGTGCTCATCCGGATGCCCCCACAGAACTGTTTATCTTACTGTAACTTGTGAAACTGTCTTCCATGTTATTGGTTTTAGAATGCGGAGAAAAGCCAATACAAGTGCAACAGAGCGGTCCCCTTGTGTCTTGGCATGCTTATCTATGAACCTGATATGGATCTCTGCAGAGACTTTGAGTGTCATCAAGCTCTTGTTAAACTCCTTGCCCATACTTCATGGACTCTTCTTCAAACAATAATGCCTTTTTGTCCCTCCCTCAACAATTTTTTATTTCTATATTTTCCTAGCCAGATAAAAAATATAAAGTATATAATTTCCATTACTTCCCCATCTCCTTCTTTCTCAATGCAATGATTGTTCTTTTTTCATTTATGTGTTTTGGTGGTGATTTAACTTAGGATAACTATCTATATCCAAGTCCTAAGATCACAAAAAGGAATCACTGAGATTTAAAGTGAGGATGAGATGATTCTGAGACAGGATTTAGGCTTTCATATGCCCAGAAATAGATGAATTAGTCCAAACCAGCCAATGTCTTGGGAGAGTATTAATTACATGTAGCTGAAAATGATGGTATAGCAGATGCACACACCAAAATCACACGGTTCTCTCACATTCACTCTCCAAAACTCAACCATAATAATGCAAGGGAAACAGGACCACCAGTCTAAAGTTATGGTTTTGCAATATATATAATAGAGCCTCAGAATGATACTTTGACAGACGGTTCCTGATTTGCTTTACTATGTGATGTGGCTCACTGGTGAGCCCTCCATTTTCCCATGGGAAAGGAGCGTGTGGCTGAATGCAACACTCACGTGCATGCAATGTTTTACAATAAAAAGCAACGCTCCATTGAGAAAGAGAGAGAGGGATGTGGGGCCCAGAGTTTCTGCCCCAAAGTTGATCTTGATATGCCACCAAAAGAAATGTAAGTTAAACCACCAATGACCAAACAAATCAATCTATTATGGGATTAAAATGAGTAAAGATCAAAAGCAGAAAGTGAAAGTTCACGGTGCATTTTCACCAATATGAACTGAGAAGGAAAGCAATAAAAATCTCCTTTGACACCAACTTCTTAATTTCACCAAGAGCAGAAAACGAAAGCTTTTCTTTTCCATATTTTGAAAAGGAGAAAATGAAAGCTCAGTTGACATTTACTGCCTAAGATGTACTGATAAGGAACATAGTAAAAGGAAAATCACATTAATTAAATACTACTTTCTCTTTATGTTTATCCATTTTTAACTTAGTCCTCTCTCTCTCTCTCATTGAGCAGGATGTGTTTGCCTCACTTCATAATGCTTCAATTGAATTTCTTAGTTCATCAAATGTGCTCAAGCTTCTGTTTTTTCTGCATATATCCATTTACACCATCTTCTATAAGAAACTTTCCAAATTGGGAATTAAGTATTTTGTTAGTTATGCAACTCTCTTACACTATTTTCCCCATCATTTCCCTTCTCTCTCACAGTTAACTAGTATAATTTTAATTTAGTCCATTCTGTTTTCACTTTTAGGCACTTTCTGAATAGTTGCAATGTTTGTGCTGTTTCTAAGTGTTCTTATTTTATTTTTTTCTGGACATGATAAGAATGGGAGAAAGGTTGGTGCTGTCTGTGTTTTAAGGCAGTGAACTATTAGCAGCCTGGACAGGAGAGTTTACCTCTGTCTGATTTTACAATGCAAGTTCCCCTTACTCCATATCCGACACCTCCAGCGCCGTACACTCCTGCCAGTGGTATCTTATTCTATTCTCTTCTGCAACAGGTTTATCTTGAAACAATTTGAATTTTATTATTGTTTATTTGCTGAGACAAAGGAAGGGCCTTCTAAGATAAAACTTTGTTTGGGAAATCTAAATCGAATTTCTGATATCTGAAGTAGGAAAGAATGTCTGCAGTTACGGAAGAATAGTTCAGGGTATCTGCTTCATTTTTCTGATATGCATGCTGCATGGCTAGTGCATTAAGATACAGCTGCTTTGGATGTAACTACCAACATTACAAAATTAGGTTCAAACTCCAGTTTGGCCTCTAACAGGCTTGGCCTCATCAACAAATTGGTCGAAGACAGGAAACATTATGAATCTATCTTTCAGCATGAGTAAAAGTTACTATGTTTCTATCTTTTTGTTAATCTCCATTTTCAACTGATCTAGTGGCCAAATCTATGTCATCAGGTGCTCAAAGCCAGCTTGTGTGTTCTGGATGTCAAAATCTATTACTCTATCCAGTCGGAGCAACCTCTGTGTGCTGTGCTGTTTGCAATGCAGTAACAGCTGTGCCGCCTCCTGGTACATCATCTGCTATTTACTTCATAACTTTTTAAGCTTATGCAACCCTGAAAATCACATCGACTGAATCTTCCTTCTGTTTTAAGTTATTTCCATATCTGTTAAATGAAAAAACTGCGGAAGGCCTATGAGTAAAATGCAAGTCAAAACTCTGAAATGACAGGCACAGAAATGGCCCAGTTGGTTTGCGGAGGCTGCCATACCTTACTAATGTACATCCGTGGAGCCACAAGTGTTCAATGTTCGTGTTGTCACACCGTCAATCTGGCCTTGGAAGGTATGCATAACAAATTATGATGTGTCATAACTTGAATAGTGTTTTTCTCAAACATTGTTAAAGATTGAAAAAACCTTGTCAATTGAGTTACTATTTCTTTGCTGTAAGCTTCAAATTTTCCTTCACTTCTGACAGCAAATCAGGTGGCGCATGTAAATTGTGGAAACTGCAGGATGTTACTAATGTACCAGTATGGAGCAAGTTCTGTAAAATGTGCAGTCTGCAATTTTGTGACATCAGTTAGGGTCAGTACATTATTTGTTCTCACTCACTAACTGTTTAATAACCTTATGATTCACTGTCTTCTTAGCAGCCTTTAAGTGCAAATTCACTGCCTTTTTTATGCGTCTTTTATAAATACAAGATCGATATATTTACAAGTAGCTGAAGCTAGTTTCATCTGTTTGCAATGTCTTCAATGTTGTGTCGTTGGATGATGCAGGGCTCAGGGAGTGCTGCGGAACAGAAGTTCAACAGCTAAAATTACTTCACACCCAAGTTGATTATTAGAAGCTACAACTTTGGTCTTTGCACATTACAAATATCCTCCTCCAGGGTTGCATCTCTCGGCAAAATAGAAGAAATTTCCTCCTCCCATGTATAGAGTTATTTTTACTTGCGTGACCTACTTGCTAATAAGCAGTGGCAGCTGGCTGGATGTATGATAAATATTTCTATCACAGAGGACTTGGTTTTCTTAATTTCTTTTACCATGCTATGAGTGTGAGTCGCATTAAATGCAGGCATAAAGGTTATCTCTGATACTTTTCTTCTTGCCTATTAATTTTTATCTTCATTCATTATGCCAAAATCTTTGCAACAATGATTTCTTTTAGCAGACAATATATATAGGAAAAAAGATTTGCCAACTTGAGCTTGTTCTTGTGCATACTGAAATAGTAATTCAACCAACCATCTTTATCTTTTATTTTTCCAATGGCACCTAGAATCACAAAGCTTTTGCTCTCCGGTATTATCAACCACTTCGATCCTTGTAATGGTCTCATCATGGCTAGAAAAGAACTTCGAAGATGCAACAAAGGTAAACATGAAAATCTATAATAGATCATTCAACAAACCACTTCTACAGAATGACTTCATTGAAGGAACAGCCAACTCTTTTTTCAGTCTAAACCAAAATCCTCTTGGAAACCACGACAAGGAAACCCTTTTTGTACATGATACTGATACAGGGTTATTACCAATAATACAGAAGTTAGAACAATGAAAAAGAAAAAATCTATCAAAAGGAATTGAATTGGTAACGTGCTTTTGCAACAGATCAAACAAAGAAATATACCACTAATCATGCCCACTGCAATTTTCCTTGGTACTCCACACACTGCTGGATTTTCCCATCATGGGACATAACCTGGGTCTTCACCTTAGCTGGTTTCGTATTGTACTTCACTTCGAACTTTGGGAATGGCTTCTGCTCGTTTTCTGCACTAGCCGCGCCAGATATTTCTGGCAAGACTTCATCTAGGAACTCATCTGCTACATCTCCATCTTCATCTATCCTAAGACGCTTTGCATACCATTTCAGACCCTGAATAAAAAAGTAAAAAAAAAATGTTAGCTACTTGAAACAGGCTTAATGACGATACAAGATGTAAAATAAGCAGTGAAAGTAAAGATGAGAACTACCAGCTGGTGTAAAACACCAGGATCCCAATAAAGGCTACTGCATCATCCACATGGACATTTATTTGCCTCAGGCTTACCAAACAGTGGTAAATAATGTTACTCTCTGTTAGCAACAGTGCCAACAACAAGTTGCACCTCTCCAACTACTTCTTTCCCCCACCTTTGTGATGTTAAACAAATTTAACCATGCTCAACATGCCACTAAATTTCATTCAAAGGAAGTAAACTAAGACCAATTCACAAAAGAAATTGTATATAGCATTTGCTTGCAAAGCTGAGATCAGTTGACAGGGACACAATCACACAAAGTGTCCATAATGTCTACTTCAGAAAAGAAACAAGGATATGCCCACACCTAGACAAGATTGACATCATTTTATTCCTTTTCTTATCAATATGCTCTTTTCCTTCTGGATTTAACACGACACATATTATTCCTTTTAATGTTTACTAAAAATGGACATGTCTATTCATTTTCAACCATGATCAACCTTTAAAACACATTTGCATGTCAGCATGTTAAATACAAAAATTCCTGTAGTATTCTCATGTTCAGCCAATTATGGTTCAAAAGGATAAGATTGCTGGATTAAAATAGACAATCCCTTCTGTCTTCCAAGCTAGCAGCAATAGTTTTCTACAGAGTATTACTTATAATACATCTAGCTAGCATAAAAAAATTGAGGAGCCTCTTGTTTTCTTGATAAGACGATAATAGTGAAAGAGTTAGAAGAAACAATCACAAGCAAGAAGGTTCTTCAAACTGACATAATCTAACACCTCTTTTCATAAGTCCAACAAGTGTTAGAGCAAAAATGGATGAATCTGATAGAGAACAAATGACTTGCATGTGCTTGGATGCTTACAGACTTGTTCATGCATGGCACCATATTTACTCGATAAGAAAAAAAAAATGTGGAGATCAGCCACCAAGGGTTCATCCCCAAACAGAGAGAGATCTTGATAACAAACAGATTTAAAAGTTTTAGGAAATCAAGATAACAGACAAGTTTCAGTAAGATTTGGTGGAACCACTCCCATTGATTTGAGGGAGGGAAAAGAAAGTTTAAGCTGAAGTCCAAAGAAAGAAGGGAAAGTATATATCTTTTCCTCTATTTATTCAGTTGAGTAAGGAAAGCAAATAGATGAAAAGGATAAAACTAAAGGATTGTTAGTAAAAACCTAAGTTAAGTAAAAGTAATGTATTACATGCATTATGAAAATTAAACCTAAATTTAACATGCATTAAAATCCATCTTCCTGCAATAAGCATTAAGCCATCCACTACATCCAGATCTGATCTATCCTTTTATTCTTTTCCTTGCATATTTTCCATGAACTGAATAATAATAATGTGAAAGACATTTGATAATTGACTCAAAATAGCCTCCTAGAAGGACTACAATTCTTACTGCCTACTTCATATAAACAGCTAAAACTCAACTCCATCATAATTTACAACAGCAATCATGCATGTCGATCAATTTCACTGACAGTAGATGTAACTAAAAGTTCCAGCAGCAACTTGGAAACCTATGAGGAAGTTTGGGGATAACATCATACACAATCCAAAACACCATGTCCATCATCCTCAACTAATGAATTCTAGAAACTTATTATTTTCTGAAAAAGCAACCATCACAAAAGTTTTGGCATCTTCATTAATAAATGGCTTGAAACAAGAACAATATGCACATAACTCTAGAAATGGACAAAGGAATTAGTGCAGAAAACTATCAGGGAGCTCAATAACTTATAGACCACATGCAAGATCAGCAGTGCAGAATTTTAACAACAGAAGCAGAAGCTTTTACTCAAGGCAGAAACATCAATTGACTCCAGACCAGCCCATTAGAAGAGAGAGGGAATCACACAATGTAACTAAAACATGATCTAGGTTTTAAGATTCAGCAGAGATAGCATTCTGTTCACAATATGAACATTAGGAATCTCTAACAGTAGTAACATGACTGAAAAGGAACCAATGGCAACAACACATGTATATAGGCCATTCTACACTCAGCATATTATTAAAATTGTACAGCAAGAAGATGATCTTGGCTGGTAATGACCTCTAAAACATAGGTCCCATCCCGTATTTAAAGACATCAATGATTCCGCATACTCAAGTCTCAAGGAAAGAGATTATAGAAAATCTCTAAAGCCCAGCTAACCTCAAGCTCTTTGCAATCAGAACACATAATTCGAAGTCACTTAGTTCTTAGATATGCTTAGTGATTCGTGCTATCTTGTCTTAATTCCAAACTATTAGCATTTATTAAAGTTTGAACATTGCTTTCTTCTTTAATACCTAAGCTTCCTAATTCTATTACAGCAGTCAACTCATAAAAAAAAAGTTACTACATTTAGCATTATAACATATATCAAGAACCCACATCTTAAAATTTGTAAACAAGGAAAAGTATTGAGATGGACCTGGACGCCGCCGTTACCGGAAGTGCAGGGGAGGAGGACAGGGCCAGGCTGTGGACGATCGACGGCGACCTGAACAGGGACGCCAAAGCCCCTTCGAGGAAGGCCAGTTTCATGGAAAATGGGACGGTTGTTGGGTGGTTGATCATTGTTGTTGTTATTGTTGTGATGGTCGTTTTCTTGGTCTTCCACTTCGTGCCCATCGTCTCTGGCAAACCCCAGAAGCCCCGCTATTTTTCTAAAGAATCGCATACTCAAAGACCAATCTTATTCGATTATCGATTCGACGTGCTAAGCTAAGCAAATCTAGAGAACGAAGCGAAAGAAGCAGAGAGAGAAACGTTCGTTTCGGGGTCGGGTTTGGGTTTGGGTTTGGGTTCGGGTTTGGCTGGTAGTGGAGAGCAAGCTCAAGCAACGTAGAAGAAGAAAAATGTAGGAAAGAAAGCGGAGAAACGTGTTCTAGATTTACAACACCAAAAAAATTATCAGGTAATTAGAATGTATAATTAAGATAAATTAAAACTTTCTTAAAAATAAAGAAAAATGTAGATTTACAATTTATATATTTTTCTCATATAAAATATTAAAATTTATATATTTATATTATATTTTATACAAAAATTAGTGTCATAATTTATATCAATGTAAAAGTATAAATTAAAAATTTAAAAAAAAAAAAAACTAATTTATATCAATCATTTTTTTATTTTATAGATTTTTTAACTTTAAACTTTGATTTAATTTTTTAATAGATTTAATAATTTAATAATTTATATTACATAAAATATTAAAATTTATGTATTTATATTATATTTTATATAAAAATTATGTATAATAATTCATTGTAAAAATATAAAATTTATAATTTTAATTTTATTAAATTTATATATAATTTATATTAAATTTTAATATTATATTATATTATATTATATTACGTTATTATATTCTGTTTTAGATTATTATATCTATTTTTAGGTGCAAAATTGGACTGTTGGAACAATTTAATTTCATTTAAAAACAGTTAAATAAATTGATAACTGTAGATAATATTTTTTTATTTACATAATAGTAGAATAATTTTCTGATAATAAAATGTAGTTATTTTTCAAAATAAATAAAAGACTGAAATGTCCCTTGACCTGTACATTAGATCTTTCCAACAGCGAACGTTTTACAAATTCTTTTTTTCTTAAAACATTTTCCATTTCGTTTTCAATTTTCTTCTTCACCGATGCTTTGATCACCAAACCAAAATCGAACGCTCTATTTCTCCTGATCCGGATACGCCACCGCCGATCCAATAATTTCTTAACGTGGGACGCCATCCACTGGATAGAAGATGCCGGTGGCCGCTTCTGCTATTTACTTCTTGAATCTCCGCGGTGATGTCCTCATCAATCGTCTCTACCGGGACGATGTCGGGTGACTCTCTCTCTCTCTCTCTCTCTCTCTCTCTCTCTTTGCGTGAATGCGTATAGGCTTCTCCTAATAGCTAGTTTTTTTTTTTTTTTATGGAACGGTGACGTTTGACTGAGGTTTATGATAATTTCTTTAGCGTTATAGGGTTTTTTTTTTTTTTTTTTTGTGTGTTTGTGTTTGATTCGTATAATATTTCATTTAGGGGAAACATGGTGGATGCCTTCCGAATGCACATTATGCAAACGAAAGAACTGGGAACTTGTCCCGTTCGACAGATTGGAGGTTGCTCTTTCTTTTATATGAGAATCAGCAATGTATACATCGTAATTGTTGTCAGCAGTAATGCTAATGTAGCTTGTGCTTTCAAGTTTGTTGTTGAGGTAGTCAAAGATTTGTTGTTCTTTATGTTTAATATACAACAGTTTTGCCTTGTATTCCACTAGAAAAATGTGCAATTCTTTTTCTCTATGGTAATTGGTGGAGGCATTTTTGCTCCTTTTGCAGGCTGTTGCTTTGTTCAAATCATATTTTGGTGGTGCTTTTGATGAAGATGCTATTCGTAATAATTTCGTTCTGATTTATGAATTGTTGGATGGTATGTATTTGATGACAGTTGAATGTTTCTTCTTCCACATGCATCCTCTTGCTTGGTTTCTAGTGTGTTTAGATACTGTTTCTTTTGGCTGTTGCTTTGTTCAAATCATATTTTGGTGGTAATAATTTGGTTCTGACTTATGAATTGTTGGATGGTTTGTATTCGATGAAAGTTGTTTTTCTCCTTCCACATGCATCCTCTAGTGTGTTTATATACTGTTTCTTTTGGCTTGATTGATGATGGTCTATTGTAGTGCTTTATTTTGCATTCACTAGTTACCTATGATTGTTGGCTCCTGGTGTCATGGACTGTGATAGGAATCTTAGATTGACATTATTATTGATAATGGTAGTAGCTGAATGATATGAATATTACTTGCAGACGCAGCTGATAAAAAAACTGAAAATTAAATAAGTAGTATAGGCATTTGTTCAGTAGAAAGGAAGGGTGAAGAAAATCATTTAACCCTGGGTTCAAATGTTATTTGAATGATTAATTGTTTGATTTCTTGATTGACATTGCAGAGATCATGGACTTTGGCTACCCACAAAATCTTTCTCCTGAAATTTTAAAGCTTTACATTACTCAGGAAGGAGTGCGGTCCCCATTTTCATCCAAGGTAAGTTGTATTTTGTGTATTATAGATTATTGTATTTTGAGGATTGATGCATGTAGGCAATGCTCATATGGCAGATGCAGGTTTAATTTATGTTTTAATTTTTGTGTAAAGTTGCATTGTAATTAACCATTTTCCTTTGCTATTTGCAATAAATCAATAGCCTTCAGATAAGCCTGTTCCAAATGCAACTTTACAAGTCACAGGTGCTGTTGGCTGGCGAAGAGAGGGACTTGTTTATAAAAAGAATGAGGTGATCTAGCTTATGAACACTGTCAAATTCGTTACTCTATTGAATGTGGAGGTTTCAATGTTGTTAAAATTTGTTTGTTTCAGGTGTTTCTGGACATTGTGGAAAGTGTGAACCTACTTATGTCTTCAAAAGGTTGGTACTGGTTTTGGAAAGTGTTTTTGTTGTCTGTTTCGTTGAATATAAAGCATTTGGTGATTGCAGGTAGTGTTCTGCGCTGTGATGTTACGGGAAAGATTCTTATGAAGTGCTTCCTCTCTGGAATGCCTGATCTTAAGTTGGGCTTGAATGATAAAATTGGGCTTGAGAAAGAATCACAATTAAAATCCCGTCCTGCTAAAAGGTGGTTTCTAATTGCATTCATTTCACATTCTATGCTGCTCTGTTTTCTTCATATATCATCCTCTTGTTCACTTTCCTGTCAATGGTGCAGTTTTTATGGTGGACTTTTGATTTTTCATGTGACTTTCTAAAGGGTTTCATATTGGATTGCCTAGTTTCTAAAATTTTGTATGCTCTGTTTATAAACTAGTCTCATTGCCATGAAGTCAAAATTTTCTGATATTGGTTTCAAAGCGTGCAAATTCAGCTCTATAATTTTTCTCTCTTACAATGCTACATATTGCAGTGGCAAGACTATTGAGCTGGATGATGTTACTTTTCATCAGTGTGTAAATCTTACAAGATTCAACTCTGAAAAGACAGTTAGTTTTGTGCCACCAGATGGTGAATTTGAATTAATGAAGTAAGCTTAGAAGTCTTCTCTCTTATATATCTTGTGGTTCAAGTTTATGTTATATTGTACGCAGCTTAAGTTGTAGCCAAGTTTTGTTACTTCATATAATTGTGACTGATAAGTTCTATATTATCTATAGCTTGCTTCTTAGACTACCATGCTATCTTCATTCTTACTGTGCTACATTTAGAAACTTCTGTTGATCATCGATGCCATTTGAACCTATAAATCTGGATATATGTTGTGAAAGTGAATGTGCAATGCTTAATGCTTATTGGTGCTCAGTACTTTATGTTTCCACAATACATAATTCTTTTATATATGCTTTTTTAATGTTCATTTTGACTTGATGTCTGACGAATGCATAGGTACCGTATCACTGAGGGAGTTAATCTTCCTTTCCGGGTATTGCCAACGATCAAGGAGCTTGGTCGAACACGGATGGAAGTAAATGTTAAGGTTTGTAATCATACATTTTGAAATTGGCGATATTTGGAAGCTCATGCTTCCGCTATTGGCTTATTTATATTAATATTTCAGGTTAAAAGTGTCTTTGGAGCAAAAATGTTTGCTCTTGGAGTTGTCATCAAAATTCCTGTTCCAAAACAAACAGCAAAAACAAGTTTCCAAGTAACATCAGGTCGAGCAAAGTACAATGCTGCTATTGATTGCTTGGTTTGGAAGTAAGTGTTTTAGTTTGTTATTATGTGCAAATCTTATGTATTCCACTTTTATATTGAGAATCTGGCTGCCTGCTTTTTGTCTCATCTTAAAGTGGATCAGCCAAATGTTTTATTTGTGCTGCAGCTCCAACCACTACCCTATCCCTGCACCCATCTGTTTGCCAATAGTCTGTACTTTTCCCTCTGCTTATGCTTCATCTCTAGATTGAATTCAGCAATTGTTCAATGTCATATTCATCTCATATTTTAGGATAAGAAAATTCCCTGGACAAACAGAGCCAACCTTGAGTGCAGAAGTTGAGTTAATTTCCACGATGACAGAGAAGAAATCTTGGACAAGGCCACCAATTCAGATGGAATTTCAGGTGCAAATTATTATTTTATTGCTTAATCATGTTGCATTAATTTTTCTTTTTTTAATGCAATATCTTTGCTAGGAAAATATAGAAAAAAAAATATTGCTGTGCTTGAAATTATTCTCCTAGTTTTGTTATAATAGAGATGTTGTACTAGTTCACTTATTATTTGTAATCCATGTTGTTGGTGCTCTAGATTTCTTTTTTTGCCTTTTAAAGGTTGTTGAATTTCCATGTATGCTAGATGAATAGAAAATTGGGAATTTGGGAGGGGGTGGGACTTGAAATAATTGGATGATTGATGGGTATAAAGGAATCAAGGTCCTATTCGATTATTTGCATTTCATGAAAATGCCAAAGAACATCAGTTTTGGGTGACTTAAATAGGGGATATTGCTTTGGCCAAAATAAAAATTAAAAAACGGGGGTTATGGACATCTGAGCACACTTCGCTGAATGCCTTAAGACAAGTCAAATACATCTGTAATTTATTTGCATTTTCTTTTCAGGTTCCAATGTTTACGGCCTCTGGTTTACGTGTCCGGTTTCTTAAGGTAAGCATTCTTATGGATTCTGAATGCATATGTGATTCCTTTAGGTGAAGTTGCTGTGTTGACTTCATCACTGTTTTGCAGGTGTGGGAGAAGAGTGGGTATAACACAGTTGAATGGGTTCGCTATATTACCAAGGCTGGTTCATATGAGATCAGGTGCTAGAAACATGGGATTGTATTGGATAACTTGAGGATTTATGAGAATATTTACTTGCTACATGTTTCAACGAAGTAGAAAGTGATTCTTACATGTTTATCATCACCTTGAGGGCAAGGGGAATGAGTCTCCGTTTCCCCCCTGAAGGATGCAGCTTGTGTTCTGGTTTCTTGAATTATTAGGCAATTTTTTTCCCTCATAGTGGAGTTATTGTTAATATGATTATTTCAAATGAATATGTGGTTGTTATTTAGCCCTTATATAGAACAAAAACCCGGTGCGATTATTTCACAATGTTGTATTATTTGCATATTGTCACACATATTTTGTTGTAACGATAAATAGTCAGTTTGGATTTTCGAATTGGATTCATCTGATGCCATCAATGATGGAAGCAGTTACTCCACTGCTCCTCTGCTCCCAATGATCTCGTGAAATTTCAGATATTCAGATGCAACATTTACGTTTTACCTAGATGGAGATGGCAAATTTTCTTTTCCATCCAACTTTTCTGCTTTTGCTTTTCTTTTGCTTTCAAATTTCGGAAAAGTTATTTTTAAGGTGCTGTACAGCAATGCAGGGTATATCACCATTCCATTTTAAGCATCATTGCTAGTCTTTGCTCCATCCACGTTTCTGGGATATTTCAGGCACCATTTTTACTCATAAAAACAACATATCAATTACATTTTAGTTTTATATCATTGGCCTACCTTGTTGTAGGTTGTTTTTAATGCTCTGGTCAGGTCGGCTGTGGGTTCCTGACTATTGAAATTGAGATTATTTATTATTGCTGGTCTTTTGCCAATTAGATTATAAGCCTGTAAGTTCAAAAATTTTGCCCTTTCCAGGACACGTTCCAAAACTTAGAAGTACCCATTATTAAATGAATTCATATGACATTATTATGACAGTTGCATCTGTATTTCAGCAAGCAAGCAAACATCTGTCAATTACTATACATTTGGTGTGCACTTGTTTTTGTCTGTCAAATATGACACTAACACTACATCTACCACATGCCACGAGCCTACTAAATTTTGGTACCAGTTATTAGATTCATTGCTTTTTTCATTTTGAATGCATTCACATTGATAATGTGCTTGGACCAACCAAATTTGATGCTAAATTACCATTTTTTTCTCTAAGATTTATACAAGGGCTCTTTGCAATTTAAACTAAAATCTTGTGATCAAAAAGGGGAAAAAAATACCAATGAAAAAATTTCTTTCCCAACTCAATGAAAGCTAGGCGAATTGCAATATACAAGAAAATCTAAACCAAATTCAAGATGGGTGTACATAACAAAGTACATAGTTAGGGACATGATCTGATCTAACTTTACTCTGCACCAAAAAAAAAAAAAAGTAGAATTCTATCAGCTGCTCCCCCATAAGAAAATCCGTGGGCAAATAAAGTGCACTTAAGAAAAAGAAAAAGTCATTAAAACCCTAAACCAAAAAGGAAAACCCTACTTGGAGTTGGATATGTTTTTGACCAAAAAAATGGCCTTTTTTTTTTTTTTCTTTTTCCGGGTATTCTTTCACCGGTTTTTAATTTCATTTGTACAACGTCCTTTTGAGTTCCACTTCGTCAGTTCTCAAAGTAGATAACTCACACAATACAACTCTTTTGACTTATCAGCTATCTTTTCTCTCACAGTTCCGCTCCAGTTAAAACTTGCACCACATTACACTTCTTTTACTTTTCATTTTTCCCATTTTTGTTTTGAAACTAAGAAAAAAGCAAAGGAAGATGGAGTCCAGAGAATTACACGTTCCGGCAGCAGCGACAGGGGGATTACAGGTGCAACAACCGCAACAGATGGTAATGGGACCCCCATCTTCATCGTACCCTTCGAACTCCGCCTTGATCAGCACTAATCCAATGGCTAATATCCCTCCTCCTTCCACTCCACGTTTTCCTTTCAACTCCTTAGCTTCGCAGTCGCCACAGCATCATCAGCATCATCATCTGCAACCCAAGCCTCTGGATTCGTTAAACTCCGTCGGCTTTGATGGATCGCCGCAGTTTCAGTACAACACGGAGCCGGCCATGAAGAAGAAGCGAGGTAGGCCTAGAAAATATGCTCCTGATGGTAACATTGCTCTTTTACAATTGGCACCCACCACCCCAAATGCCTCTAACTCGGCAAATCACGGTGGTGCGGATTCTGTCGGTTTAGGAAGCAGTAGTGGCGGTGGTGCTGCGTCAGAGCCGCTTGCTAAAAGGAACCGTGGAAGGCCACCTGGTTCTGGAAAAAGACAGATGGATGCATTAGGTAACTAACAGTTGGTGTCAAAGTTAGTCCTTTTTTGGTGTTTTGTTTTGTAACTTTTGTGTGTTTGTTTGCTTTTATGAGCAGGTGGAGTTGGAGGGGTGGGATTTACTCCTCATGTGATCACAGTGAAAGCCGGCGAGGTGAGTTTCTTTTATAAGTAATATATGAAGTTGTAATGGTTGCTCCTTCATATGAAATGAGAAATATTGTGAACTGAAGGTAGGCTTGGAAATGTGTGAGGTTTTCTTGGCCTTAATGGATTTGTATTTGGGGATTATTCAATTTTCTTAGATTGAATTTTCAAATGTTTTAAGCTTCCTTTGGTGGTGGAATCATCCATTTTGTGTATCAGTAGCATGAAGGAATATCTTTAAAGCCTTTGCAATACAACTCTGGAATATGATTGCATAGAAGCAACTTATCTTGTAACTGTTAAGCAGAGCACTATGATGTAATTTAGCTCTAACTGAATGTGTGCACATTTCAAATGCTGAGTTGGGGCAATGTAAATTTCATAGAGCATGTGGAAAGTAGCTTGGGTCCTGAGATATTTACCCTTTTCTTTTTGTTGTCAAAGATTCATTGATAGAGATACTTCTTCAATTGATAGTTTTAAGCGTAGTGGAAAGATTAGTTGGCCTCTTCCAGTCAATAACTTGAGGCAAAATGCATACTTTTATTCCTTAAAAGGTGGATCTGCCTTAAATATTGCATGTCAATAAATCTGCAATACTGTTCTCTTGCACATGTTCTGATTGCCCATGTTTGTAATTCTTGAACCTTATTTATAATGTGCCTTATTGTATGGCCTTTTCATTTGCAGGACATAGCATCAAAGATTATGGCTTTTTCACAGCAAGGACCACGCACAGTCTGTATTCTCTCTGCAAATGGCGCCATTTGTAATGTTACACTCCGCCAACCCGCAATGTCTGGTGGTACAGTGACATATGAGGTATTTTTAATATCTATATAAGATCCATCTGATGAACTAGGCTTAGGCTTGAATGAACTGCATTTACTCAGCGCCATGGATGAGATAGGATTGCTTCCATATTTCAAAGGCTGCTGAAGAATTAACTTTCTGAGCATTCCTTTGACAGAAAAAAATGTAACCTTTTTTCTCTACGTATGTCTGCATTGTCTATCTCTCTTTTAGAGAATAATTTCTATATTTTAATTTTTATTTTTTTAAAAAAATGCTTTTAACCTATCGTAGGATCCCAGGCCAAGTAAATTCATTAGTCTGAGGAGAAAAAAAAAACTGATTAGTGTGGAAATTTTATTTGAATATAGATCTGAGGAAATAGTGCTGCTCATATCTTAGCCTCATGGGTTTTATCACTTGAGTTGATTTCAGAATTTTATAGTTAATTATACCAAAACACATGTAGGTAGCTGAAATCTCATCCTTACATGGTGATAAAGGCATGAAATTTTTATTAAACCAAAATGGTTCATACAATTTTAGCTTTTTGAATTATTTTCTCCCTTGCCAATTATGCACAATTTAATTATGGCCAGACCTTTTATTGCAGGGCCGATTTGAAATTATTTCTCTATCAGGTTCCTTCTTGTTTTCTGAAAATAATGGTAGTCGCAGCAGGACCGGTGGATTAAGTGTCTCCTTGGCTGGGTCTGACGGTCAAGTATTAGGTGGTGGAGTTGTAGGGATGCTGCAGGCAGCATCAACAGTTCAGGTTTCTCTCTATTACTAACTGGTGTTTGCGATTTCCATGTTCATATGTGTAATTACTATTACCATGACAGTATGATGAAATTTTTGCCGCATGCACATCTCAGAGGTGATAATCTGTTTGGGATTGAGGCTTAGTTGAATCTAGTTATTTGCATCTCTGATACCATACTTGCTGGGTAACCATCTAGGTGTCAAGGGACTTTCCAGCTTGTCATGGCATAACAAAGATGTCAACGGATTTCATTCTTGTTTTATGACTCTGTTTTCTATCTCCTGCCAGGTCATTGTTGGCAGCTTTATTGTGGATGGGAAAAAACCGAACTCAGATGTTTTTAAAACTGGACCATCTTCCCTTCTAGCACCAAATATGCTGAGTTTTGGGGCTCCAGGAACAACAGGTAGTCCTCCTTCACAAGGTGGATCAAGTGAGTCTTATGATGAGAACAGTGGTAGCCCTCTTAACCATGGGTCTGCATTTTACAGTAATTCAGCTCCATCTATTCATAATAACAATATGCAAATGTACTCGCTTTGGACTGGCCACACTCCACAATGAAGATGCTTCTAAATTAACAGTAGAGCGTTTTGGGCATCAACTTGGTGATTGGTCTTGCATAACAATTAGTGAATTCCAAATGCTAACATGCATTAAAGAATAGAAATGGCAGAGAATAATTTTTCTTGTAGATCAAGTTTTTTGTTCTTTCTGCTTTAGTAGTTTTCAAGTATTCTTCACCTCATCGAAAAATGGCTGCTGAGAACATTCCACTTATTTCTCAGAATCTCAATATTACTTTTTCCAGTATTGTTTCTCTAGTGGTTGCTGTTGTTAGGTTTCAGATGTAAAACTCGTTTTAAGGATATGAATATCATAGGAGTTGTCATAGTTTTGAGTGAGACTTGTTGCCACCACCATTTCGGGAGCCATGACTACATAACATATGGAGACCCATATCCAATCTACAGGGTATATTATGTATTTTGATCCAAAGGTTTCATGGATTTGTCTTATAAAAGTTATTTAACAAGTTTGGATTTAAATTTCTATTTATATATATCATAAATTTTTAGAATATATCGATATGGGATTGGAGTGTTATCAATGATGTAAGCTGTTGAATCGTTTGTTGATCTCAAGTATTCATTCATTAAAGTCATTTCAATGTGTCTCGATTGTTGTACACTTCTCTAATATGATAAAGTTTACAATAAGAAATTGATCAATCCCTACTTTAATGCACAAAATTAATTAAAGCAAGCATTGCGTTTGCTTATGGAAAAACTGGACATTGCCACTCGGTCCAATTAACATCACAGCTCAAGCATACCTGTTCTTATTTTCAAACCAGTCTCATGTCACCAACCATAAAGTTGGGCGGCTCCTAACGCATGTTGCAAGTTGTATATGATTTTCAATTTTCAAACCTTAATAACTTTCTTCATGTCATTTTATTCCAATAAAATAACCTAACAAAGTTCATAGTAAATACAATTTCACCTAAATTTTGTTATTTTTAATTTCAGCTGGTGAACCTTATTAAGGCTGGGTGTTTGATGAACTACCGCATTTACTTAATTCGTTGACCATATTATCATAGTATGTAACGAAGACATATGCCAACTATCTTGAATCCTTTTCAACGAGCCTATTCAAATTTCGTATTATTACAACACAAGCGCAGCTTACACAGATGTTAGTGATACATTGTCTCTTCTCACGCGCCTGTCTGTCTCAATGCTTTGCTTGCTTTGCACCAAAGTCGGTGCCAACTGCCTACTAATTAATGCACAAATACCGTGGATTTTGCTGAATAATAGAATCCTTTGCATATACTTTGTCTATATAATATGTATGAAATCTTGAATTTGAATCCAATCAATTACCCAAAGGCAATGAGCTGCTGACCAGCACTTGTCCTATGCTGAGTGTTCACGAGGACATCCGCCGGTGATTGAGAGTGACATTTGTTCAATCCGGCAAGTCTTATTCCAATTCCTACTATCAAATAGATATGCTTCATTCACATGCCAACGGCTCTCTTGGCCAGCAAAAACCTAAAAAACAAGCAATAAAATACATGGTACTATGTTTTAATCTACCTTTTTCCTTTGCTTGCCTATAAAAACTCCCTCATCTCTCCATCTCTCTCTAGATCAAATACTTTCTCCCCCATCAAAAGAACCCATTTTCACATTCATATAAGCAGTTCATTTTCCTAGCCATAACAAACAATATTCAGTCATTAACATAACATATATACTATACACTCTATCTTCAAAATTTTGTCAGTTATTAGTTCATGGATTGCTTGGTCTTGCCTGCCACCTTGTTGCGAAGGCGCAGCATGGCATCACGGCTAAGCTACCGGCCTCTAACGGAGAATGGATATGGCGAGTTGGAGCGACACGTGACGGTGGTGGTAGGGAAAGAGAAGAGGGAGTTTTTGGTTGACCCTTTTGTGCTAGAGGAGAGTCCATTCGGGGTTTTGATTGACACAATGAAGAAGAAGGAATATAGTAGTCAAGTCATTGATGCGAGAGGGGACAAGAGGAGGGTGATTTTCGTGGACGTGGATGCTATCTTGTTTGAACACATGCTTTGGTTGATGAACAATGATCGTTCTTCTTTGTTTCAGCTTAATCTCAAGGAGATTATTGACTTCTATGCTCAAGATAATTAGAATGTAGAATAGAGGTACATTATTTTTACCAATTTGAGCTGCAACAGATAACATACTTTTGTAATCTAAACACAGAAAAATAGAAACAATATATATATATATATATATTATATGTATATCTTGCTTTAAGCGGTTTAAAACACAATACCATGTTTCTAACTTGATTTCAGATTCTCCAATTCACCAAATATTTGGGTTGAGACTTAAGAGCAGTTTATGCAGGTAAATAGTACTGTTCATGTAAGTGCAAAAGACCTTAACATATATAATTTGGTTTTTAATTTGCACATCAGATTGAATCAGTCAAATTTACCAATTGGAATCCTATAAATTATATGTCACACTGTTTATGATTTACCTGAGTTGTTGGGATTGATCACATCAATGTCCTAATAATACAACATGAGGTTGATTCCACAGATCTAATCCACCCTTTATTCACCTAACTTCCAAGGACATTATTTTCAATCTCTCTCACACAGAGATTAATATAGGTAAAAGAAACAACAAATCCTCCAAGATAATCTCAAAAACCAAATGAATACAAAGGATGTCGTTTTCGTTTTAATGTGCTAATTCAGAAAACTACATTGCGAAATTTTAACTATCAGTTTCTTTTTCTCTGCATCTATTTGGAGGTGAAAAGAATATAACTTACAGTAGGGATACAGTTTCATCTTTCAAGGTCTTTTCAACGGGATGGAGGCTGTCATTGGATTCACATCACTAATTCAGCTCAAGCTTGGACCCGTCCAAACCCAATTATTTGTCCATCAACCCAAGTAGATGCCTGAAACTTTGGGTTCTTAATCGGACCATTAACACAAAGTTAACAAACAAGAACCGGGTTTCAGGCTTTGGTCATACAGGAGCCAGGTTGGGTTGGGCCCTCGAATCTTACTAATTTTACTAATCTGAAATTCACTCAAATTTTGAGTCATAAAATGTTTAATACTACTTCATGCCCAACGTTTGGATTCTGAATGACAGTCACATGCACGAATCAGCTAAATGCTGGACAAAGAATAATAATATATATTAAAATGTTAATCATGAATTAGATTTGATAATTACTATTTATGCATTTCGAACATCATTATAATCAAGTCATTCAATAAAACAAACCCGAGTCTGAGGTCAAGAAAGGAGACAGTGTGGTAAGTTGTCGTCTATCCTATGTCACTGACGTTGGAAAGCCGAAAGGACAAGTTAGTTCTTGGAAATGAGGTCATTAGCCCTAATCAATATTGGCTATTGGGTTGAGATAATTAAATCAAACTGAAATTTCTTGTGAGAATAAAAAATTCAACGGCTCTTGATTATCTATTAAAGAGACAAATTAGAATCAAATGTTGTAAATTAAGCCATGGCACTGTTTTATGACTTGGCCAGCTCGTTTGAAAATCCAGGTTCCCTTATAATTGTTATACCACATTTGCGCTATTTTTTTTGTATGTTGGTAAGCTAATTAAAATCTTCATCTTCTAACTACTATTGGCCAAGTTTCTCAAGTCATTTCATCATCGTCTTCCTTTTTCATTTTATTTTTTGTTGTTAAAAAAATTAAGGTGAAAGAAGGATTCTCCTTTCCAAATTTAAGGCAAACCGTAGGTTTTAAGAGAATAATTATATTGAATTTACAGACTACTTATCAAAAGAAATTGCTAGCAACAAATATCCAATCTAAATCCTACAGACAAAGTATTCGAACTTACCAATTTAACAAATCTCGGTCGGCCATTGTCTTATTTCTTTGCTCTCTCTACAGTCTACATCATCATCTTCATTGTTAGTATCATCTTCATTACTATCATCGATCCATGCTAGTAAGGTCAGTTAGATAGACTTGACATTTGGCTTATAACGAAGATCTCTATCACGCATGACTTAACAAATTAAGAAATTAAATGGTTTTTCTTTTGGCATCTTCCTATTTTGGTATATCCATGGAAAAATTCGGTTGAACTTTCTTTTTTCTTATCTAAACATATTGACAACAATTTTATCGATCCCAAATTGGGTTAATTTTGATAATATGACATCACAAGGTTACTAATGTTAATTTTGTTAAAATGGTATTACTTCACATTTAATAAATATTTAATATTTTATAATTTTATATTCAAATCGGATCTCTCCACTTGCTATTAATTGGTTTTAAATTTGATACTTAACATAATATTAAAGTCAAAAATATTTTTTTTCATTACTTTTTCTAAATCTATCATGTAATAAGCTTCTTCCATCTCTTCTTACACGTGATGTAGGTTATTAAAATGATGTTATCTCATATCTAATAAATATATAATATCTTGTAATTTTATATTCAAGTTGAATCTCTATAATTACTATCAATTAATTTTAAGTTGGATGTTTAACAAATTTTACAATACCATATCAATCTTGTTAAGAGGATTTCATTTTCATTTTCCTATCTCAAATAATGACTAGAAATCTCACCTTCCATTATCCTTATCTTTAATTTTCATATGATATATATATATATATATATATATGTATGTAGCATAATGTAAGAGAGTTTATATGTTTCTCTTTTTGTGCTCATTCTAGACTAAATTACCAGCACAAATTAAATATAATACTCCCTTAAGACAAAACACAATGAGAAGAATTTGTTTCAACTATGTTGATAATTGGAACAAGGCAAGCATTTTCTTTCTCCACGATGGAACCTAGGCTTGTGGATTCAAAGTGGAGAGAATAAATTCAGTCATTGACAAATATAATTTTAAAATATATATTTAAGTTGCAGTATTGATAGAATACCTAACTGATAGTAAACGAATTAATGAAGATCATGGCTCATGGTTTTGAAGAGGCTGTAATCGAAAGCAAGAAAGGAATCAGCATCAAGATGGGTTAAACTAAACAGGACCATTTGTTTTTTTTTTTTTTTTGCCACAAGGCATATTTCTTTCTCATACCGTATCTCTATATGGTATCACTATCTTTATAAAATGGAAACCCAATCTTCTGATATAACTTCAATTCACCATGTAAAATCGCTTCTGTCGAATGGAAGATGGGTTTATGAGAATGCCAAACTCCAATAATGTAATTAATCTATAGTTGCAAATAACTTCAATGGCTAACAAGTTTTGAAAAACCTACAAAAATAAGCTTTTGGGTAATGAAAATTCGTTTTAGGATTTTTTTAGCATGCATATACATATATATATATATATGCATAGCCAGGTGCTATGAATGGAGAGAACTGATGGGGAAGAAAGGTCTAAAATCAAGTATGTGTCGATGAAAAGCTTTCCCATGTAAGAGTACTGTTTTTCATTTTTAAACCATTGCCCAACTGTAACTATTCATTAACTAACACCAAAAGAATATTTGAATATGGAGACAGTAGCTTTAAGATATTTAATAAACATAGTATTTTTATAATTAAAGAGTGCCCCTTGAGATCAAAAACATTTTGACAACGTTATTACTTATAATATTTAAGTATATATACAACTTATAATTTATTTAGAGAGTTAATTGCTTATAATAGCAAGAACAGTGTTTAAGAAATTATATATAATTCCATCCCATTGACAAGAAGACAGATTACTGGCTAGCTACTATATATATTTTTTGTTTCTTTGGTACTTCCCTCTGAAACTATGATTAAGGCTGATCTTAGGGGAATTCTAAGAGGGTGTTGAAAGATTAAGGACAACAGTAACTATTGTTATAGTACCCACAAGTCCCATCCCAATGGGTGTCTAAGATTACCAACAACAAGAGTACTGGAATCTGAGTAGATAGCCACAAAACAATAGTGTTGCTGAATGTATATTTTGACTCTTTGTTCAACTATGTAAAAATTGGATTACCCCACCTAGATATTCCCCAAAGCTTATTAATAAGACTCCATCAGAAAATTCTTCTAGAAATGGAGATTGGAGAGCTTATTTGAAGAAAAATGGAGGCTAGTTTCTGATGAAAAACTGATTTTAAAAAATGGTTTATTAGTGTTGGAGGAACAGTTTAGTTGTTCTTGTTCATTGTAGAGAAGGTGCTTGGATTTTAAATATGTTTTGGTTTAGTTCAAAAGATTTAGAAGAGAAATGTCAAGTAATAGAAAAATAGCTTATCCACAAGAAAGATGGAAATCAAGAAAGTCTGCTTGAACATCAATGCAAAAACTCATGTTGGGTCAGGCACCATCAGAACAAGAAGAATCCTCCAGTGATGAAATCCTTGCCTTTAATTATATTTATATACTGTTTTATTTATTCTTTCCTGAAAACAATGCAAAGAGAACACAATCCCATGTTACCAATTCCTACAAGATTTACTTTAGAATCCTTTTTAAGTAGTGCTTTGTTAACTCCATGAGAGAAACTGTTGCAAACAAAGAGGACAAGAATTATATCTGTTGGGTCTATAGGAGATGAAATTAAGATTGATATATGATGCAAATTTAAAAAATGAAAATTAAAGAAAAAAGTTTAGGAGAAAGGGAAACCCTAGTTTATCTGTTGGTAACACTGAAATTCGGTGACTGATATTATCCAACCAAAGGTAAATACAGCAACAACCATTTGTCATAGATAATAGGAAAGTTGTTCGACCATGAACAAGGACTATTTCCAGAAATCATAGATTCCAAGAATCCGAAGAGAAAGAAAAAGAAAAGAAGGAAAAAAGAACTTAATTAAACAAAGATTATAGGGGAAAAAAACCTAAATTTAACATCAACATCAGAGGAAGTGGAAGAAGAAAAAGAAGAAGAAGCATGATGATAATGATGATGAAGATAACTAGTCCATGAATTTCCTGACCTTTATGATCCAAGAATCCCGTTTCCACCAATGCAAACTGCTTCTCAACAGAGCTTGATTTTTCTATCCAAACCTCATATTCCCACCCAAATCTCTCAAAACGGAGGCCTACCACCTGAGTTTCCTGGCCATCCTTCAACGGGTAACTGGACATTAGGCGGCATATTGAGAGGCAAATTAAAGAAAGGCAAACCCCCTGTGCCAGCTCCAGCATCAGCAAACATGTTATTTCCAGCACCACCTCCACCGCTTCCGCCGCCGCCACTTTGCATCTGCAGCTGGTCATCCTCTTCCAAGGGCAGCCTCTCATAGGCCACATTTGTAAACGATGCAGCTATGACAATAACAGGTCCTGCCGCCATCAGTTCCCCAACCACACTTCCTCCTACAACTTGGCCTTGCCCGCCAGCCAAAAAGATTGTCAAACTGGTGGCACCAGGAGGAGCTGGTGGTGGCAAAAATGAACCTGAAAGTGATAATATTTCAAATCTTCCATGAAGAGTAACCACAGCTCCAGCTGCAGCTGGTTGCCTGATGCTCACGTTGGTCACGGTACCACTCCCACTCAGTATACAGATTCCTCTTTGCCTTCTCCGAGCGTAGTTTGCAACACAGTCAAACACATCACAGCCGCTCCCAACTTCAAGAATGTGAGCTCGGAGCGTGTTTGCACTCTCCCGTGTGATGATGACTGGAGGCTTTGGTTTGTTCTTGGAACCTGGAGGACGACCTCTTGGCCGACGAGCTACAAGGTCACCAGGACCTGAGTTGGCTGCGTTGACCAAGTCCAGGGCTTGGTGAGAGCCATCGTCTTGGTGATGGTCAGCTGAGCCATAGTGAGCACCACCTCCTCCACCACCAACACGATTGTTTGAAGCTTCGTGGTCATCAGTTTCAGGTCGGTGTTGGAGGTGAAGGTCCGGTCTGTGAAGCTGATGAACATAGCGCGAAGCAGTGCCTAAATCAAGACCTGCCATGCCAGCATCAAAAGACAACAGAAAACAAGGAAAAACAAAGGATTAAAAACAATATTTTATAAAAAAAATTATAAAATAAACTATGAGTTTAGATTAAAAACTGTTTATGGGGGTTTGTTTATTTTAAGGGAAGTGAGTGATGAAAACTATAAAGAAGAGGAAAAAGAAAGGGAAAGGCAAGGGCTCTCCAGGGCTCGATGAAATAAAATTATTTGAATTGCTACAGGGAGAGAAAGGGTTTTCTTTTCTTTTGTTTTAATTTTTTGAAAGAAATTAAAAACAACGACAAGAAAAGGAGATCGAGTGCCGCAGGGAAAGGCAATAGAAGAGGAAGAAGAAGATGTAGAGGGGACAAAGTCTCTAAAAAACGCAGTCATTTCTCACCCTGAAAAAGTTTAAATATATACATAAAATAAACCAACCAATTGTTTTTGAGAAGAGAAGAGAATAGAAGCTGGTGGATGCCAACCCTACTCTCACTTTTTGGAGCGTGGACTTTAAAACATCAAGAGTATATATATGTATACTACCATATAGTATATAAGAAAACCAAATTGTATGATTAAATTAAATCATAGATCAAGAAATAAATGATCAAATTAAGAAACTTTTATTCCCTCTTAGCATTAGCATGGGAAACAATTGAAAAATATATAAAAAAAAACACAAAAAACCTTTTAAGAAATTTTTTATTAAAAATTTAATATTTTATCAACAGTTGATAATTTTATGACATGTTTAAAATACTAGGAAAGTTAATTTCCATTCTATTTTATATATATATTCATCCATTTATGACAAATAACCTTTCATTAATATTTATAGATGGAGAATTAAGAAGTTGATATTTGGTTTTAAGGGTTGGATGGTAGGTGGCAACGCACGCGGCAGAAAGGGGGAGTAAAGGGTTGTTGTTTCTTATGTTGGGGTGGTGATCTAATGATAAAAACATTTGAGCAAATGAACCCTAGACGATGGAGGATTGTGTGGGTGGGGTTAGATGATAAATGTTGGCCTTGGGGGTTTGGACTTCAATTCCATGGCGAATAAAAAACTTAAACTATGGTTACAACTACACAAGTTGACCAAGTTTGGTTAAGAAGATAGAAAAAGAATTAGTCACAAACAATTATATTTAAAAAGAAAACAGTGGTAGAAATGGTGCAAGTGGGCAATGGTGCTGCGGCGTGTAGGTCCCATTCTTGTCATCTCCTCCTCCTCTCCACCGTGGGCCGCCCTGTTCTCCTCCTAATTGGCCGTCACTGCCCTTGTTTTGCTTGACTTTGCTCAATTTGGATATATCAGTATCTATATCAGAGATTTAATTAGCATGCATTTCTTTTGCAATTACCAAATCAAATGCTATTTTATAGACTATGGTTTGTTCCTCTTAAAGGGAAAAATCAGCTGTTTTCTTTTTTGGATACATTTAAAAAAATTATACTATCATTTTATTATATACTACATATAAACTGCTAAAAAAAATTTGAATAGAGTGAAAATAATGCTTGTTCTTTTCATAAAATATAACTTTTTATTCATGAATTTGGAATTTGTTTCTTTCACGTTAAAACACTCTAAAATCAATTCCTGGATTGTGCTATGAGGACAAAGTTGAGGAGATAGAGTTGGATTTTAATATAGTAGGATGGTTAATTTGTCAACAATCTCTTGTCTTCCATTTCAAGCCATTTAAAGGGAATTGTAAATATAATAAAAAGATTGACCCCTATTTAATATGACTAGTTGATTTGGGTTAAATATGCACTGATGCTAATTCATTAATTAATTATTATATTTTCTTTTAACCTCTTGGGTACAAGGAGAGAAGTGGAAACTCATGCTGAGTAGCCCTTGAAAATGAAAGCCTAACCAATTGCCATGACACCTTTCCAATTTTAATGGTGCTCTGACCAGGCAGAATTAGGTTTATTCTATGAGATTAGGGATGTAATTATCAGTTAATTCACTTATCCAAATCTAAAATTCACAATTCATTACTTAAAGTTTTTTTACAAAGGAAATTATAATTTGAGGATAAATAAAGAGATTTCAAGTGTTAATATTTGAATTTTAAATCTATTGAATGTTTAAAGATGACTATATAAATCGACTCGATTATGTCTCAAATTCATTGATCAAATTTCAATCCTAGAAATTATAAACTAAATTAACTTGATCCATTCATCTCTTGATTTTTTTTGGAAATTATAAACTAAATTAATAATATGTTTATTAACAAAGATTATTTAAATTTGAGATATACATTGGATTAGTGACCTCATATTCAAGAATGCATATAATACAGGGTAAACTTTACATACAACTCATATGGTTTGCAACTTTTCCACTTACTTTTTTTATGAAATTTTTTTCTCACTTATAATTTTGTGATTCACTTTTATTATCAGAATCGGTAACTGCATAAAAAATAATCGAATTCTAGTAAAATTACAAAATAACTCTCACCCTTATTTTTGACATTGTTACCCCCTTTTGATAAGTGAACCATAAGATTATAAAAAAGGAAAAAAATTTCACAAAGGATATACGTATGAAAGTCGCAAGCCACAGGAGTGTATATGGGGTTTACCCCATAATATAATTAACTACAAATTAATTTATTAGTTGTAATATTTAAATAATTATGCAATACATAAGCTAGCTAGATCGATCTTTAATTAATTCAGCATATGCTACTAAATTTATTGTGGCATAACAAGACATGAGTTAAATTTTGGTGTATCTTTTTTCCTTTTGCGAATAATTTATACTTTAACAAATTAATTATTCATTTAAAAAAACGTTAATTATTAGGAAACATATATAAGTCAATGAACATTATTATATATTAATAATTAGAACATATTCATAAATGGTAAACCACTCTATTATTTTGTATGTTGGCTTTGGAACCTGTTTACCTGTTAATTCGCTAATAACAAACTATACCTTGCTTTTATTTTTTTTAATAAAAAATAGAATAAAGATAAAGCTGTAAATAAAAATGTTAATTTAATTTGAATGTATGTTTTTCTCTCACATTTGGAAGCAAAAAAAAAAATGCAAGTCCACTTATTTTCCTTCCCTCTTTTTATTTTCCTCATCGCCAAACGAATGAAAGGGTGAAAAAAAATAAAATTTCCTTTCACGCTTTTTCTTTCCTTTCTCTTTCCTTCGTACCAAATAAATGTAAAAATTGGGACGTTAGGAAAAAATAGATTACTCTGTTGCTTAGGTTCAACCATCCGATAAGAAAAAAAGCCTCTTTAATTTTAAAGGAAAAAGCTAGCAATAAATCAAAATTTATTCATTTAATTGGGTGTAATTAGCGTTTGGTCTTGAATTCAGCTTTAATGGCAATCATAGGTCCAAAGGAAAGAGTCATCAATTTTTTTTTTTTTTCATTTTGCTTTTGGTTTTCGAGAGGCAAAGCTACAAAGCTAATTAAGAAGTTGGCATTTTCAAGAGTGTAATATCATTTCCTTTCTTTTAAAAATCTTTCTTTTACTTTCTTTTCCTTTTTTTTTTACTAACATTTATCCAAAAATAATGTAAAAGTTAAAGTTTAAAGTATAAGAAACTACAAAAAAAAAAAAAAAGTCTAAAACACTCTCCCAAAAGAGGGATTATATTTTCTTGCATGAGTTACTCAATTTCACTTGACCACAGTTAACTAACTTCATATGATAAACCTTAAGTCAATCAACGATTGAAAGAAAAGAAAAAATTTTCTTATTTAGAAGCAAAGTCATATTTTATGCTTGACCGAATTATTAAAATAAATAAAAAATAAAAAGTTTTCATATTTAAACCACGAGGTTATTTGGAGGCGTTGAAATTTACCAATGTAAAAATTTGACTATATTAATTCCCTTTATTTGACCAAAGTTTGTTTTTGAACAAGGGAAACTTTAGCTGTCTTTCTTTTTTTTTTTCTTTCTTATTACATAGAGTATGATGCTAAATGTCTTTAAGGAGGCATTTCAATGATTAAAATTTTAAATTATTTTTATATTCAAGATTATCAGAATTTTCGGCAACTGTCTTTGGTACTAAAAGTTGGTCGGGAAAATTTTTCTGTAATAAAATTATCTATTTGTCCGAGAAAAAAAAATTCAATTGTAAAATTTCATGTTAAAAATTTATGAGAAGAAATAGAATTTTTTTTATTGCATAACCCAAACCTCAATAGAACTTTTCTTCCTTTTTTTTTTTTTTTATAAATGAAATAATTCCTTTCCTTCTCTATATATTTCCCATTTTCAAATTGTTTTTGTTGATCCAGAGATGTCTTGGGATTTTTTTTTGTTTAATTATATATCAATTATAAAATTTGGAAATAGTTGTGTCTTTTATAATAATATGATATGATTAGGTTGGGAAAAAGAGGGAGCATGAGAAGGTATATATTCGTACGTTATGCCCAACATCAACAGTTTGAAAAAAAAAAACCATAAAGATTGTCGTTAATACTATTTAGTTTTTGAATATTTTATTATGTTAGCAGCAATTTATACATGGAAACAATCATTGTGGATTTCTTAGTCTTCAAAAAGTTGTATTCTAAAATTAGTTCTTAAAACATATATTTATCCTTCCAAACATAATGAATTGATTGTTGTTGTTGAAAATATATTATATCAATCATCAACATTAGAAATTAAAAAAAAAAAAAAAAACTACCATAATCAATTGCCCTTTCTAGTATAAACATGTTTGTACAGTTGTTTGCTTGTTTTCAACACTTAATTGGGGAGACTAAAGTTTTTGGAAATGGTGAAAATATTCATAAAATACTTCTTATTATGTAATTTAATATCAATCGTGTAAATATTATTAGATAAAAAACGATTTATAGGAATTTTCCTTTTTTACTGTAGTTAAAATAAATGTACTAACTTAAATAAATTTATAAAAATTACCTTAATTAAATATAAATTTAATAATTTAAAATATAACACAATAATACATTATGAATACAATAAAAATGATATGATTTAAAATTTTAATAATTATTATATATAAATTTAATAAAATAAAAAATATATTTTTTAATTTCATATAAATATAAATTATAAAATGTAATTTTATATAATTACATAAAACGTCATACCTAATTTAACATCTCGTAGTATTAAAAAAGAAATAGGGCTATTGGGAAGAACCCTAACTACTAAGGCGCGTTAGGAGCACATTCTGATTAATGGAGAGTAAAGTTGGGGAAAGTTTCTTGCTTGTCACAAATGTCCCTTGGTACTTTAAGAGGGCGTAAAGAAAGAAATTAAGAAGATTTTGGCTCACAATCACTAATGTCAAATCCAATTCTTGGATCCACGTAACCTCTACGCAGAGTATAATCTAGGGTTTATATACCTTAATTTAATTTTTTTTAAATCATACTAAGGTACATAAAATTGACAAGGAATTAAAAAAACAAGACAAATAAAA